GGTGATATAGATCGTAAAGCCAACAGGTTGGTGTGAGTGATAACAGTGTAAGCTGTGTGTTGCCTTTCGTTCCAGGCAAATATGAATACCTTTGTTTCAGTGTCATCGTTTTAATTGAACACACTAATACAGAATGATGTTGTTCACCTACTCCTTCCCTTCTCATCAATAGTCAAAAAGCAATGACTCTTTGTGTGGGTGCTTGAGAAAAAAATATTATGTCCAGCCAAAAACAGCCAACAGGCACAATGGTCAATAACTCATGCTAGTAGACGAGTAGACAAGTCAGAGCAAGACAATGTGCTCTCTATTTTCCTTTCCCTCACAACTTATATCCTTTTGAGTGTCCCTTTTTTTCCCTTGGTTTAATGTGTCAAATCCAACCTCTTTGCTTTTGTTAATGTCTGATGTAACACCCACACAACTCCCTCTCTTACCCCCTACTATATCTCTGGCCTCCTCGTGGCACATTTTCCCACCCTGTCGACCTCGCTATTTTTCCCCTTCTCCATCCAATTTTGTCATGTTCTTCCGAGTGCTTCAACTCAATAATGGATGTTCATAAAGCTCAATTAGCTTCTCGGGCCTTTTCAATCATTTTTGTAGTTAATTCACTCGCTGTGCCTGCTTCCCCACTGCAGTCTTTGCGGAGGCCGGGCTCTCTTTCTGCGTACACCCTGCTTACGTTCTCACTCCATCAGCCAGACACACAGCCGGTGTGACAAATTACACCCATTTGCCTCAGTGTGTAACATGGTGCATGTGTTAAAACGATTAAAACACATGAATAGTTATGAGTTACAGAAACTCAGCAATACAACATATTCTTTAAGTCAAAACATACAGTATGGATTTGTTGTTTACAAAAAACAACCGTATGACTACATATGCAGAACTGTATTATTACACTGGACAGGTAGGAAACATCTCCTATTATTAAGAATTATCAGTTTTTTTGTTGGAAAGTCTCACTTTTCTTGAATAGCTTTCATGTAATGTGAACTAGTGACTCCAAATCAATCCAGCATCTCTTTATATTAGATTCTAGTCCAGCTTCTATCCAACAATAATATATTTTTTTTCTTGGATTTTTTTTAATACCTGCCTTGTCATGTGACCTAATGACTCCAAATAAATGCATAATTGTTTCTAAGATTTGTAATGTTAGTTTCTTTATAAAATAAGGATTGTAATAATACTACGTGTTTTTTCATCCCAAGCCATCAGTCTGCCACCTCTATTACATGTAGCATTCACCCAAGCAAGTATTGATCCAAATCATTGTCCGGCAGTGGCTCAGTCAGTAGGGGCTTGGACTGTGAGCCGTAGGGTCGCCGGTTCAAGTCCCCGACCAGACCTAAAAAATATGGAGTGTGGACTTCTACTTGGAGAGGTCCCAGTTCACCTCCTGCCCTGCCGTGGTGCGCTTGAGCAAGGCACCGGACATCCCCCTTCCCCCCCTCACTCCCATTGCTCCCCGGGCGCTGTACAATAGCTGCCCACTGCTCCTAGTACTAGACTCCTGGTACTAGGATGGGTTAAAAGCAGAGAACAAATTTCACTGTGTGTGTGCTGTGTGCTCTGCATGTGTGACCATTAAAGAGGGTTTCATCCCTCCCAATTCTATTCTATTCTATTCTATTCTATTGATCACAGAGCTTGACAAACACTCATACAATCCATTAAACAGCAGTTAGTGTGCTCCTCAACAGATTGTGTACAAATGCTATTTTGCAATCTGCGCTAACATGGAGGCTATTGAACATTTTCCACACGTTGCTTTTTGTGATTTTTGCAGTTTAAGGCACCAGATAACTGCTCAATTTAAATCTCTCATAAGCTCTCAGGTATTAATTGTCTACCCCTCCAAATCAAGTGTGACTCACTCATACTACACTTTGAAACATGTGTATTGCCTTGATTTTATGACCCTTTATAATGGGAATATTACTAAAGTTAAACAAGGAGTATCACTGCAGACTCAGAGGGGCAGAGTGTGTAATCCTCACTACGTATTCAGCAGCACTAATGAAAATAGGGCAATCGGAAGTCTAAGCTGAGCGCAAGCTTACTTTAAAAGCAGATTCTTCCTTTTAACATTTTAGATGTGAATCTTAATAAAATATGATTAGACAAAATTGCAAAGTTGCAAAAAGACTGTATAATCTCAATGTTGGTTACAGATCACACGTCGTATTATCAGTTTTCCAATCGTATCAGATAAATCATTTTCCTGTTTATGTGTCTTCCAGAGGATTTTGATTCTGATATGACTTTGTTTGTTAAGGCAGACTGGGTGCTATCTTTTATTCAGTAGAAGCAGAGTGTCGGGTTGCCAGGTTAAGGTACTGATTGAAGGTATGATTGAAACAAAACCATGGCATTGTTAACATCCTAGCTCTTGATTGGCCTCTAACCAGTATTTTTTGCCCTGAAGAACATCATTATTTCTCTACCTTGCTTGAAAACGTCAAGATTAACATTACACATAGATATTTGGAGTACCTTTTGTTATGTTGTATAGGCATATTAAATGACGTTTGTCCTAATGGAACCACTATTTACACATTACCAACGATCAGCAGCTTGGGTTTGTCCCTGTTCCATTTCCCTGCCTAAAGGATCATCTTAAGAGAGACAAGCAGTCATAAATCAAGGATGGCCATGTGTGTTATCTCCTCAGATATGAGTCTGGAGTGGGCTCCGTGGATTAGAGACGTGACAGGCTTGGTTAATGGAAGACAGAGCATGGACCCTCTATCCTGGTAGTACGTGTGATTGAGTATGGAGGAATATGATTAATGATTCAGAGGCTCAGTTTAAATAGTCAGTGCTTTGGGGGTTCTGCTGAGATGTATTTTAAACCCCCAGATGAACAAAGAGGATGGAGTGGCTTTATATGTCAAAGAAATTCGAATTTGCTGATATTGACCGTTGCCTGGTCTGCTCCCTTTTCTTTCAACACGTTCAACGGATTTCCTTTCTCACATATTCCCCCATCTCTTACTCCTCTTCCTCTCTTAGTAATGGAAATTGGGTTTCCATAGTTACTGAGCACCATAGTTAAACGATGGACACGACATCTGGGTCACATCGGTGGCTTGAGAATATGTGTTTTCTATGACTCTTGGTTTGTGGGGGTTTTATGAATGCCTAAACAAAGACTTTTTCTCTCCCAAGGCATCTAATGCAGAGCTTTTATTTTTCATTGTCTATTTCATGCAGAGCCCAGAAGCTTTTTTTGTCATAAGCAGGATACCCATTCAGGCCAATGGTGTGTGTACATCTGTGTGAATATTGCTTGTTGGAACAGCTACATTTGGTATGGTATGGTTGGGCAATGTCACGAAAACGTTTTTTGACATGCACATATCAGGGAACATCTGAGTTGCTAGTCTCTAATTAATGCCCTATATGTAATGTTTCAGTCAGTATTATTAAAGAAATAACTCTGGCGATAATCTTAATTTTTCTTATTTTAAACAAATCCTATGATTACATTACATTACATGTTACTTGTTAGAAGCTTTTATCCAAAGCGACTTACATACTCAATGCTGTGGACAATCCCCACAGGAGCAATTTGGGGTGAAGTATCTTGCCCAGGGGCACAACGACATGCTGACTGCAGTGGGGTTTGAACCTGTGACCCCCTGATCCGAACACCTACGCACAACCCACTGCGCCACACGCCTCCTCCGATATAAATGATAAAAGCTAAATCAACAATGAATTGATTATACTAAAAGGTCTGTGAATCCATAACCCCGCTTGTTTCAAACAGCTCAATTTTTGCCCATAAATGATGAAAAACACATCAATAAGCCACACAGTTGCACTGGGTGACATGTTCCTACATTAGCATGATCCCACACGCTGTGGTTTAATTTGAGTCACTCCCACATTCACTGTCCTGCAGCTATAAACAGTCAGTAGCACACAAAATCGGTCAACTCCGGACCTGAAAATAGACACTATTTCTTTCTGTTTAAGTAAAGTTTGAAAAAGCTACAATGCCCAGCTTTTGAAAGAATTACAGAGGATTTTAAGTTGAAATAATTAGCCACAGACAGGTCTGAGAGTGTTGAGACATCCTAATGGATTATTTGCTTTTGTCTTTTCATTTTTCTTTGAAAATTAGTAAAATATAGAATATTACCAGCCTCCTCCTTTAAGCAATATACCAATAATGGTTAAGATTGAATTGAATATGTGTCAAAATAACCTAGAAACTGGTGGTATTATTTAACTGATTTCATGATGTTCACCATCTTGGTGCAAAAACATGCTACATAGCGTTATTTAGACAGGAATTGATAGTGTTAGCTTTTGTTACGGCATGTTCTGTTCTCAGATGAAGGAATAGACGTGAGAGCTCCACTAATACGTCACATTAGCTGTGTTTAACAGTGTCAATAAAGGATGGAGGAAACGGGGCGAAGTGGAAATGAATAAGCCTTTGCACGTTCCTTCCATTACGACTTCCTTGCTGTCTTGATAACAATAGATAATAATAATAATAATAATTGAACCAATATTCCCCACAGGCAACTGCTAATGGCTTGTCCCTACAAAGCCTCCTTATGGGATTCAGTTGAGAACGTGAATGTGTCAGCTTTTCTGAGATGGTCTTAGCATGTTAAGTGGGCTATTTGACGCAATTACTGTCAGAAATCTGTGCACTAAGTACTGGAAATTATTATTAAGCGAGGAGATCCTGTGTTTTACATGCATGGGTACACATAGTGGAACTCGTCTAGAGAATAATTCAGTTATACTATGTGAGTGACAAACAGCGGTTCAGTAGATTAAAGGCTGAGAAGCATAATGAAAGTAAGACAAGTACACAACTTATCCTGAGCAATCATTTTGAGCTACTCTGCACTATTTTCTAGCGTTTTGTGGCAAGATCCTTGAGAGGAATCACCTCAAGACAGACACATTTAAAGTGAAATAATCCAACAATTCTAATCACAAGCTTTCTCTCTCTTTCTCCACAGGTGTTCTAGCATTCCTAGCACTGCCAGTAGGGCTGGTGTCATCAGCACAGGAGCTGTTCCTCAGCCAGAAACCCCAGGTCTCCATGGCAGCCGCCCACATTAGCCCCCTTTCTGCCCCTGAACCTCCCCCTGTGGACTGGCATCAGGAAGGCTCCAGTAGCGGGGAATGGGCATCCACAGGACGCACTCATTCGTTAAACATTATCCTCCCGACTGTCACCATCCATCCTTTAGCCTTACTTCACACCACCCAAACGTCCAGCCTGGCTCATGACAACCCACCCGTTAATGATAAAAATACAGTCCCCCCAAACACTGTGAGTACTTCTAGTCATGTGAATCAGCCCCTGGAGCCGAGCTCTGACGTTGTGAACCAAGGCCACATGCACAAATTGGTAAGGGTACCTCAAGCCCATAACCCAGTTTCTGTCGGCACTAAGCAGGCCAGCAGCAGCAGCAGCAGCCCTAGATCTCCTAGCATAGCGGCCCCAAATATAGCCTCACAGCCTCAGAAGCTGAGTTTGGATGAACCCACTAACTCAGATCACGCCCCCTTTTCCTCTTCATCGGGGAATGCTGACCCTTGGTTAAAAGTCGGGGAGCATGCTCGTGGTGCCACAGAAATGGCCAGACACCACGCTATCACCCTGAGGGAGGTGCACAGCGTGAAGGAGCCCCCCACTGAAGAACTGGTGTTAGAGAAGAAAGAAGTGTCTGTGACCCCGGTCCACAGCCCACCTGAGAAGCTAACTTCCACTGCGTCCACTCTAGCGCTCTCCACTGGGCTCAGCCTCAACACACAGATTCCAACCGTCATCCCAAACAACCTCACTGCACCCAACGAGACCACCACTGTGGGGGGTCAAGGTAACGGCACAGACAATGCCCCTCTTGCGCCCTGGTTAGGGAACGTAACTGCACATGGAGGGCTGCTCTCTAACAGCAGCTCAGTTGAGGAGGGGAATGCTCAGGGGAACAGCTCCGAGCCCCCCTCTACAGCCAGTGGGAACTTCCTGAACAGGCAGGTGCCCGCCACGACCGAGGACCCCTGGATGCCCGGCAACAGCTCAGGCCCCACCGTTGACTCCCCGATGTCCCGTTTCACCATCTGCCTCAGCCGGATGGACATTGTGTGGATCGTGCTGGCCATCACTGTGCCTGTGTCCTCGTGTTGTAAGTAATGTTAGAGCAACTTATAAAAGAGGAAATTATTTAATTATCATAACAAATATCTATTCCAACGGTTGTTAACATATTTAGAAGTAAGCATATTTGCCTCAGTTATAAGATTTAGATGGAAAAAATACAAACCGCTCTCACAATCAATCTAACCTTGGAAAGAAACTCTACGAAGATAGCAGACAAAACTCTATGTCACAGTAGAGTCTATTTTTTTATTAAAAGCTGTAATTCATTCATTTCATACTCTCATTTTCCTTTATCCTTCCTGGTTTACACTTGAGAGTGTAATTGCATAATAGCAGCAAGGATGGGAGAGTCATTTTTATCAAGCGCTGCACCTGAGGCAAAACAATTGTTTAGCATTTTGATCTGTTCGAGATGGAGAAATAAGAATTTATTACTCTTTGATAAGACATTATTTTCTTTTATGATTCCTGAAAATGTCTTTCTCGGAGACTTATAACTTTGTTGTTTGCGACAGCTCAAAATTACAACAAGGCACACCACCAGTAGTCTTCTCACACTGTATATCAGGGTGGTATTTTTCCCCTTCAATCACAGTTCCTTGCAACAGTAGCATGTTGTCATGAAACATGCCTTGCCTACCTGCTCAGCTGGTGTGGGTGCTTTCAGAGGCTATTTGAAGCAGCATCTCTTTACAGTCTCTGTACTAACCCCTCATTTTCCTTTCCTCTCCACCCGCTCTAGCTGTGCTTTTGACTGTGTGCTGTATGAGGAGGAAGAAGAAGTCATCAAGTCAGGAGAACAACCTCAGCTACTGGAACAATGCCATCACCATGGACTACTTCAGCCGGCACGCTGTGGAGCTGCCCAGAGAGATACACTCTCTGGAGAGCGAGGTAGAAACTACTGGCACACTCACTCTATTAGTGTACAGCTCTACACACAGAAGTTGAGGGACATTTACTTGACGTTTCACCATCAGTCAGCATAATGGTTTTAATGAGTGTGGAAACAACAAGAGAATCCATGTTCAATGTCCTCGCAGCCTGCTGAAGCATGACGCTGTATTACTAGGATTTACACAGATGCTATTTGGAACAAGCAAAAAGAGAATATCCCTGCAGGGGATCTATTAAGATTACTTTGTTAGTTTTTAACATCTAGTAAATGGATTTCAAAGTGTGACCCGATTCAGTATACTGCTATTACAAATGCATGATGCTGCTGCTAAAAGGATATAGCAATGTTATTCAATTTAATTAAAAAAAATGTTTTAAACCTTATTTGTGGAAATAACTGGTTTTATATCATTGAAATTATATGATTATGATTGGAATTTTAGACTATATATTTTAAAACTTGAGTGTTTGGGGGAAAAAAGCATTATATAATATTTTCGAGCAGAATGACATACCAGGCAGCATAGAGGAGGCTTTAAAATAACATTTAGATCATCATTGAAGAAAAGAAAGTACAGAATATATAATTAACAATTTACAGTGATAAATCAAATCTGAAATTCGGTGATTGCTTCTTTGGGGGTGGCAGATCAAAATGTTCTTAAGCAGGTTTTGTTCTGCAGAAGTAATCTTGATTTATTATTTCAGAAACCCTGCCTGCAGTCCTGATGATGATTTCTTAGATTTCTGCTAATTTCCAAATGATTTTGGTCAATATAATACTGAGAAAATAACAGCACCACCTTAGTTTTTAGTGCATCATAGTGCCACCTGGTGGGAAAGATAGTATATAATACCTCACTATAAAATATACTATAAACACTATAAATACCTCCTCTTCTTCCCCATATCATTTTGACTGACCATTCTTTTGTTCTATTTGCATGTTTTTCTATCACCAACTCTCCAGTGACCATTTCACTGTGTCTCTTTTTTCTTTTATTCCCCATCCATTGCTCAATTTGCATCTTTTTACCATCTTTGGGGGCGTCAGGAGAGGGATGCTGAGGTTGGATCTTGTGTAGGATGCCCCTGGTGACCCCCAGGTGTTGTTCTTCCACTGCTTTTCCTGGCTCTTTAGAGCAGCATAGCTCCCCGGGTGCTTTAGATTAATGACAGTGCTCCAGGAGAAATGATCATAAACCCTAAATTACAGCGCTACAGTAGTTTGATTGGATCTTAGTGATAAAATGGCCTCATTTGGGCTGTAATTCAAATCCTTTAGTTTTCACACCTCCTCCTCTTATTACTAAGTCACTCTGTTGTCTTGTTTCTGAGTCATCCCTCCCTTTAACATCTTCCCTGTTCATCTAGCTTTGTCAGATATCTTTGTTCACCATCTCATTAAAAGCCCCAGGCTGCACCAAACCCATTCTGTTCTCTTTGACACTGCTCATTGCCTGTAGAGTGATTAGATACAGTAGACTGCAGTGTATGCCCTAAAGTATGAATCACGAATCACAGTTATTGTCAACCACCTGCGTTAATCTTTTTTCTGCGTGTGCATTTGCAGGATCATGACACTTGTCTCCCCCCGAACGGAGACTACAGCAGCAGCAGCGTCGTCCTGGTTAACCCTTTCTGCCAGGAGACCCTCTTCATCAACAGAGACAAAGCTTTTGCCATGTAGAGACAGAAAAAAAGAGACACCGTCTGATTCTCCACTCATACTCCCCCTGCTGTCTATTTTATATAGTATGTGGTAAATATTCAGAGACTTTATACTGTATATGACCAACACAAAAAAGAGGCACCCTGAAAGAGTAGTGATGTAAGCAGACACTGTTTACTATGAGGATGCCCCTGCATATTTTTCTGATGTACATTTTCTACAAAAGGCTTAATTGTGATAAAAGGTTTTTATTGTCTTTATAAAATACAGAGTATATGTGGTTTTGTTTCATTACAGTGGTTTGATGGTGAGTGCACTGCAGATGTTGCCACGTGAAATCTGCTTGAGAGAGAACCGTGACATGAAATCTTAGAAGCTGTTCTTGGTATTTTTAATTTTCTTTTCAAATGAATCCTAAAATACTTATAGCCTGATGAACTTGAATATAGCACCTACGTTCTTGGGGGGGAAACAGAGATTTGTGTCAAAATACTGTATGTAAGATCAGGGCCCATATTTATCAAACTGAGAAATACACTTGGGAATCTGAAAAAGATGGAGGGATAACGCTTTCATCAAGTTATTCACAGCAAAATGTGAAAATAACCTTCAAGAGAAGCTCTGAAGTGATCACATGATTAACCACATGAATACTGTTAGCCAATCAGAGACATGGTTCCCTCTACTGTTCATCTGCCCCATTTTTCTGCTTATTTTATTCCTTACATTTTACTGTGCAATTTCATTAAAATAACAACAAAATATATTTGTATTGCATGTGTGATATTACTGATACTTTGTGTAAAATGCTTTAGTTGCCAAATTATGAGTAAAAGAAAATCTGAAAAATAAAAGAACAATAGAAGAACAAAACTAAATCAAACATTTAAATGGCTATTTTAGATATTTTTTACAATACCAATCAGTATTGTGGGTTTAAAACGGGTTTTAAATAGGCTATATATACAGTATAGTAATATGTACTGTATGATACATTTGGGTTAAGAAGTCGGATGAATGAAATAAAAAGTGAACTCGAATACTTACTGCTAAGTCGAGAAGGAAAGTAATTCTGCTGCTGGTAGACAAGGTACATCAGAGAAATTATACAATAAGGAGTTTGGTACATCATTAGTAACAAATACAGATATTAAAGTCAAAATATTTTCCTTTATCAGTTTGATAAATAAAGGCCTGATTTTGAAGGTTTATTTGGGCAGTTTATTTTGGTGACTTGGAGTCTACAACTAGCTGATTTTAGAGACGTCAATCAAATGAAACTGACTTAAAATATCGTTCCCCCTCTTGTGTCACCAGCTTCTCTTAAGAGGGACCACATAGATGTCTTAATTCCTTCTGTTGACCCTTTATATATATATATATATATATAAATATCAGTATGTGTGTGTGCCCTGTTTGTGCATGTAAGAGGACTGTGTGAGTGTGTACGGATGAGTATTGTGCTGCCTCCCTTTACCAAATATCACTGTTACTTTATGTCACACAAGGCTTTGTATTTCTTTCAGCTCAGTTATATCTGTTTCTCTGTGTGTGTCTGTTTGTCAGTGTCGTGGAGTGGTTACTGGTTATAGCCCAGTTTGAGAAAGAATTTCTCAGTGCTGTAGGAAACAATTAGACCAACGTTGCTACTGTAAATGTGTCCCTCCATATATAATGTGTTTGTCCATCAATGCAAATTATGTTTGTTAAAATGTTGAATGATTGTGAGTTAGTTGCTGGACCACATAATGTGTTAGAGGCTGTCAATAATTTCTTGACCAATAAAAACGCTGAGATAAAAAAGGTATGCTGAATATTTGCTGGGAGCACATACAGAGGCAGTTTGATTATCAAAAAAGATTGTTTTAATTCTTTGTTTAGTTATACGACATGTGGTCCTTCTATCATCTGTTTTTTTGTTTGCATCGCTGCAGTTTTATTCAATTATCGATGCTGCCTGCCTCTATCGTCGCTAAAGATTATCTGCATTGTGAGATGTTGTTCTGAAATCACTGATCCAAAAGGTGAAGATGAATAACACGATTAAACATATTGATATTTCCTGCATTGGATGCTCACAGCTGGGCTTCTTGTTTTGCACGCTCAAAAGTGGATATTTTACAAAACGTTCAGTGGCACGGTGGAGCAGTGTTAAACATTATGTATTTTTTGTACTGTAGTATACACTGTACTTTTTACTGCTGAGCAATAAAACTGAAAAAATACCTGACTAATTTGTTTGTCTGATTAATCCTCTTAAAAATTAAATGTAATCATTGTTTCCTCATATTGCCAAGCAGACGGTCAGGAATTATTTGATTTGTTTTTGTTAGATATCATACTTACTTGTTTATTATATAACAAAGCAGTCTTGCCGACCACAGCACATCCATTGATGCACTGTTCTGGAATGTTCTCTTTGTTCACCAGTTCTGCACGTGGTCAAGTGACCCCCAGCTCTGGGTATATAACGTCAGTTGAATAATCTGTCAACAAACCTGCTTTCCTACTGAGAAGATCATTTCAAATCTAGAAAAACCTGAGAGTTTAGCTTTTAAAAGTATCTTTAATTGTGGCCATTTAAAAAGAAATCGATGGACCCTACGTAACTGGCCTTGTGAGGTTTTGAAAGTTAAGTCCAAATACATGAAGGATTTTATTATTATTGTCTTCGTTTCCCCCCCCCCTTACTTTGGTGTTCGCGGTCAAATTTGACCGGTCCTGTTTTAACTGCTATTACATTAACACAAAAAACATTAATCATCACCAAATTTCATTTAACACCCTTTCAAACTGTAAATATTGTATCAGACTACTGGTATACATGAACAACTGCAGTAAATATACAAAGAATAGACACTGAACATGTATTGCGTGTGCCAGGTTTGATCCATGTGGGGGGATGGGCACATAAGAGCGGGAAATGTATCAAATTCTTCTGTGTGTGTTTGTGTGTGCCAGGTGGGATTCACATGGGGGGATGGGCACATAAGGGGGGGGAACCTTTATATATACAGTCTATGGGGGGAACACATCTAGTGTGTGTGTGTGTGTGTGTGTGTGTGTGTGTGTGTGTGTGTGTGTGTGTGTGTGTGTGTGTGTGTGTGTGTGTGTGTGTGTGTGTGTGTGTGTGTGTGTGTGTGTGTGTGTGTGTGTGTGTGTGTGTGTGTGTGTGAGAGAGGGTGTGTGTGTGAGGGTGTGTGTGTGTGAGGGTGTGTGTGTGTGAGGGTGTTTGTGTGTGTGTTTTCTCTGATCCGGATGGTTACTAATTCCTTTTCTTTATAGCGGTCATTTTTGACCGGGAACAAAACACCATGGGTGTTACAAAGTTGACTAAATCATCCAAAATTCAATGAAAGTGGTGATCAGCAATTGTATATGTTCAAATGTCTACTGTGAAGGATATCATAAAGCCTTAATGCAATCAAATGTAAAACAAAAAAGTTAGGATTGATGAAAGTAGTAAATCGGTCAGATTTGACCCGAAGACAACAGGAGGGATGAGATGTATTAATATTTGTGTCAACTATTCAGAGTTCCTTATTAAGCCTCCTATGTAAATGCATTCAATCAGATGTGTTCTTGTTTTGTAACTAAATAATCTTGATTACAAAAACAAATGAAATTGGAATTTTTAAAATGCTACATATTCTTAAAACCATGCAAGGTGAACGTTAAGCTTTCTATCATAGTTAAACTGGGCAGTACTTAATTACAGGTTACAAACACAACCCACTTTCTTTTCTTCCTGTTAGAGCAGTCCAACATCTCAGTGGGAAATCTCACGGGCATTCCTTGAATTAACACTTTCAGCCACTGTCTTTGGGGGAAAGATTTACAGTCCCATGTGCAATGAAAAATATTAATAGAAAAAACGTTTTGTCCCTTTGACCACAACATACCTAATCAAAGACACTTTTTGAAGCCAGTTACTTCCTCAGCACAGCATCGTATGGCTATACAGTATCTATTCATTTAACCTTCATTCAGCCCTTATATAATAGCTTATGTTGTGAATTGTGTTTTTTTGTAAATATGTCTTAATGTGTCCTATCTGGATGTGATAATGATGTGTTTTAATACCCTTGATTTTGCACATGCAAACCAAACACTAATGTCAGCCTTTTTCTCATGCAAAAAGTATAACAAGTATTTTTATCTTTTTACTATTGAAGTCATTTTATGCCATTTTAGGAATTTCAAATGTATACATGGTAACTCAAAAGTATTATATGTCAAGTCACGATTTTATGATATTACATAAAAAATAACAATCTTTAAAGTAGAATTATAGTCATGGCTTTGTGGTAAATGTCTTAAAATACTAAACAATGACTAAAAAGCTAAAAAATCTTTAAAGTTTATTTTTTATTTAGTAACCATTTTTTTATTTTATTTATTAAAATGTTATTGAACATCTCTTTGCATTTGGTATTAGTATTATTGTTTAAAAATAAAACATGAAATGAAATACCATGAGAAAATCGTGCCTTTATGTTTTGCCCTGTAACGTTTCCGGTTCAGGATCGGAGTGTTTCCGGGTTACGGTACAGATTTGTCAAATAGTCCGTGCATGGCATGGTTGTCAGGATAGCCATCGATTCAGCTAGGTATCAGGGTGGACACTTTTTTTTTTATCAGCCTTTAACAGAAGTTAAACCGTCAGAATTAGGAGTCAGTCTATCCTTTCTGTCAGTTTAAACGGCTGTCCACACTCTCGAAGAGCAGATTTTTTTTTACATTTGTCATTGCTCGGTTAGCTAACAAGTTAACGTTGCTCTTTGAAAATGGCGGATCTACCACCAGAGAAAAGCCTGGACGATTTCTTTGCCAAGCGGGATAAAAAGAAGAAGAAAGAGAAAGGAAAGGGGAAGGAGTCCATCCCCGGGCCTACGTCAGGAGTGATTAAAAAAACAAAGAGAGAGAAGGAAAAATCTACGAAAAACGACAACCAAGACCAACAAATCGAGAAGGTAATGTTAAGCTACGTTACGCTAGGTAACTTTTTTTGCCTTAGCGTCTTTTACCGGCGTCGTGTCAAATCTTCCACCCTCCGTCACAATCTGCTTCCTGTTTGAATTTAGCTTGCTCGCCGTTATCTTTTTCTACAATATGATAGAGCCACGCACTTTATATATTCAACATGGGGGGAGAAAACGCCGGTTGCTAGATAGCATATGGTTTCCCCTGGCACACATTCTGACGTATACGAAATTAAGCACGACACGCCTTAAGCGCATTTTTTTAACAATCTTAGCTTTGTTTTTTTGACAAATCTAAACGTTAATGGTATCGTTAAATACCAACTTACAGTTTAATATAGTGTTAAGGCCTTGTGGGTGCTTTTTTAAAGCTGTCATCCCTCTTGAATCGTGGCTGTCCAACTAGGCCGAGCCGCCATTTGTCACAAAATATACGTGGTTGACAGTCTTATATGTTTCAAATAACACAATACAAATCACGTAAAGCTTTATTATCTAGTATAAGGTGTACATATCGTGTCATAGTGGTGTAATGTTGACCCCACACTAGTATAACCCGTGTGACCATTTATTGGGAAGCCCTGGCCAGGTTGCAGATGTTTTATTAAAGAACAGACCCTCAATAATACGCTTTACAAATATGTAGATGTACTTTGTTGGGGTGAGATTTCATGCATCCTTCTGCCTAGGAGGACGAGGAATGGAAAGAGTTCGAACAGAAAGAAGTTGACTATAGCGGGCTCCGACTCCAAGCCTTACAGATAAGGTAAGATTAAAATATGTATTTAGTTGGTCTAATATGTATTTCGTTGTTGTGACTCCTTGTGCTCATGTTGAGAATTAGGGGTCTAATAAATGCATTTTGCCCTGATTTAAAGATCATATTTTATCCAATTGATGATGGCATGTCTAATTATCAAGCTTAAAGATTTGCAAAAACTGTTGTCACAATCCTTAGTAAGTTACTAGCATGTGCTTTTTAACCAAATCAATATATCAACCTGTTTTATAAGCAGAAATCCGTTGCACTAAATTAGAGGGGAAATGCATCTTAGATAGCTCAACTGTCTTCTGGTTGTTTGCAGTGACGAGAAGGAGGAGGAGGAGTACGAGAAGGAGGAAGTTGGAGAGGATGGAGAGATCATTCTGGTCAGTGGAGACAAATTCTCTGGTCCCTGGAACAAGTCGGGTGCTCCGCCGCCCGTTGCTGCTGCACCTGTGGGTGAGTAAACCAACGTCATACTGATTTATTTTGAAGGGTCAAGAAATAACACAATAAGAGGATGGATAAACCACTGCTTATTAAGAATGCTCTTGTGGTTTTTCCCAACCTTGTCGAGTCATTTACACTGACTGTGCTCATTTATAAGGCTCCTGTTAATTATAGAATACTGTATGGTAACGAAAGCCTATGACAGATGTTTTTTCCGATGTGTTCCTAGCCATACAATTAGTTTTATCAAAAAAACATCACATACACAGCCTAAAGCAGTTTTAACCCTCTGATCATAGGATTTTTGATGAATTTGCATCTGAAATCAGTGTTCTTCTTTTTAACTTGTGTGATTTCTTCTTCTTTTTTTATTACAGAGGAAGAAGAGGAGCCCGAGTCGAAGCCTTCCGGTGTATATCGCCCTCCAGGGGCTCGGCTGACCACCAACAGGCGAACTGCCACCCAGGGACCCCCTGAGATCTTCAGTGACACACAGTTCCCCTCTCTGATGGCCACTGCCAAGCATGTGGAGACACGCAAGTAAGCAGAGTTCAGTGAGAACAATTTGTTTACCTTTAGAAGTTGATGTTTTACTGACGTGATGCATATTTGCGTTTCAGGGACAGAGAAATGGAGAAGACCTTTGAGGTGGTGAGACACAGGAACCGTGGTAGAGAGGAGACAGGTGGTAGTGCCTCTATGCAGCAGTTGCAGCTTGACAACCAGTACGCCATCCTGGGGGACAAGTAGAGACTCCCCCCTCCGTCCCCTGGCCCCTTCAGCACGGTCCTGCCCAGCCCCTCAAGAAAGCCAGCTGTGTTGACTGCAGTCCTGACCAAGCTCACCTTGCCACCATCATCACACTGGTTACTCGTGCACACACACAGCCTCATGTACACACACTCATACACAGCAATACCAACGCACCACATACAGTGACACTCCCTTTAATAGCAACACACTTGACATCCATTCGTTGGCAAAACTGAAGGACTGCATCTGAAGGGGCTGTTGAAAGAGGGAATAATTTAAAAGGAATTGGTCAAATACACCCAAACGTACAACACTGCAACAGCAACGGCAGATGGCATATTTGTCCTTTGTGGATTGTACTCAGCAGTTGTACGCAACTTTTCTCTGGACTTCAACTTGCTTCGATAAAGCCACAGAGGATAACTTTAGGCAAGATGATTTTACAAACTTCTGTGAAAATATCTATTTTTTTGCAAGATCGTTATAACCCAATCGCACATGGTATTTTGGGGTGTGTTTTTGAGTTGCAGTGGGGGCTTCAGGAGTGGGGATACTACCTCAGCAGCATTGCTGGTGGTGAAGATGTGGACTGAGCTTTTTTTTTTTTGCTGTGGTGGTGAACGGGGCAAACACCAGCCCCCCCACGTACAAGCCGGCCATCAGGCTCTTTAAATAAGAAACTTGAAGCTTTGGTTTTGACACAAGATGATGACGCTCTGCAAAGATCTATGGACAAGAAGCGAAAGGTTGTGGTCCTCATTTAGAATTTCTATATAAAGTGGCCTTACTGATAGAAGAAACTGCTTTGTCATCTAAAAAGAACTTTGCTTGTTGTCTAAAGGGCTGCTGCCTGCCTCTGAATCTCACCACTTTGTGACAAAAAAATCATATACACAAAAAATCTTTCTGTTCAAGAATGTAGTGCTGTTGTAGTATGCCTGCAAATTACAACTACTAACTATCCCTCATATCCACCATTTAATTTAGCTGCATCTAATTCATTTTGGTCATTCTAGACATAAGCAAAAGAGAAGCTAAAGCCTGTTTCTAATCTGAAAAGGTTATTTTTGGTAACAAATGCTTTGCTGTGGTTTGACACCAGATGATCACAGATGTTACAGTATCAAGAAAAAATGACGGAACAAACTTTAAATGCATATTTGTTAAGGTTATTTGGACAAACTGAGTTTGCAGCTTTTTATAATTAAAAGTAAAGTGGTACATTTCAACCCCAGTTGTAAGACTTTTCCTATCTTTTCTCTTTTTTTTTTTTTTTTTTTTTAGATCAAGGCTTTTCCTCATAAATACATTTGCTGTCATTGCATTGAGTATTTGAGTTACAGCAAATACTCTGTAAAAAAATCTAACTGTCACCAAACCAACAGTACTATCCACTTACAAAAACAGTGGTACGCCCAGTTAAAATAAAATGAGTTTTTACTACAAGCATAGTTGTGTTAAAAAAAGGTGAAGAACTGGATTTATGTTATGTTTCTGTCCTTGTCATAAAAGATGCCAGGGAGTGTTGATCCCTGCCGGAACACTTTGGGTGGACGTAGATAATATTTGTGATGAAAAGAGAAGAGCCAAACACAAAAAATAAAGTGATCCTTGTGACTGAAGTCTTGTCTAAATCTTTAAATGTTGAAAAGGGGGATTACAGCATCTTTTACAGAAAAGGTTTTATCCGTTTTGTAAAATGAAGGCTTGTGTTATCCTGCTATCTCTCCCTTAATCACTTAATTGGTGTCTCATTTTGACCAACCGTTGGAAAATTATCAAAAGTTTAAACTGTATGAAATGACCTTATACCAAGCATATTAACAAATAAAAGAAACTTTTTTTCACACAACAGACTTAAAATGTTTATTTGAAGTCAGCAGTGATTAAATTGTCGTTTTAGTCTCAGATTTGAAACATGTCCAAATGTCAGCCCCTTGTGCTGTCCGTCTTCATTTTTGCTCCACCTGAAAAGACGACGACTGACATTTAAAATTATACAACTTTAAGTAATTATAAAAGCTAATCGTGGAAAGTGCTGTATATTTGTTTTACCTGAGGCACTGTATCTGTTGGCTTGAAATCACCACCCGCAAAAGGATGCACGAAAATAGGAGGCACTGTATCTGTTGGCTTGAAACCACCACCCGCAAAAGGATGCACGAAAATAGGACGCACGGTTGGAGGTCTTGTCTTGGGGGGGGGGAAGAAAAACGTACAGTTAAATTAGTACAAAATCCTACGTTGTTCAGCAGCCGCTGTGTCTAAATTGTGGCTTCACCTGAAAAGACGGTGACTGACGTTTAACATTATACAACTTTAAATCATTATAAAAGCTAATTGTGGAAAGTGCTGTATAGTTTTTTTTACCTGAGGCACTATATCTGTTGGCTTGAAACCACCACCGCCCGCAAAAGGATGCACGAAAAGAGTGTGTTGCTTGGGGGGGGGGGGGGAAGAAAAACGTACAGTTAAATTAGTACAAAATCCTACGTTGTTCAGCCGCTGTGCTGTCTGTCTAAATTGTGGATTCAACTGAAAAGACGGTGACTGACATTTAAAATTATACAACATTAAATCATTATAAAAGCTGATTGTGGAAAGTGCTGTATAGTTTCTTACCCGACGCTGACGCACTGTTGGTTTGAAACCAGCAACGCCCGAAAAAGGCTGAATAAAACTAGGTTTAGCTATATGTTTCTGAAGGGGGGGAAGACAAAAACGTACAGTTAAATTCGTGTAAAAACAATCCCAATTTGTTCAGCCTCTGCTGTCTGTCTTCTTTTTTGCTTCACCTGAAAAGACGATGACTGACACTTACAATTATACACCTTAAAATCCTTTAAAAAGCTAACTATTGCATGCTCAATATTTTTTTTACCTGAGCACTTTTTCTGTTTCTTTTGTGAAATCACAAAAACGTTACATTAATAAAATAAAAATAAAATGGATGCTAAGAAAACGCTTTGTCTGAGTTCCTTCCTACAGTGTCTTTTTATATAATGATGAGAATGTATTATGTGCTGCTTTACAACCCTGCTTTTGTGACCTATTGCTCATGCAGACACTTTTTTTCGATAGCGAAATATTGCAAAGTAAAAAAAACTCTTATATGAGATAGTGCTGTGCTTTGGTATATTTCATTATATTTGAGTGAGATGTCCCATTTTAATCTGATATACTCTCGCCGACCACAAGGTGGTGATGGAGCGTATTGATGCCATGTAGACCGTATGCACACAGCACAGACCCGGTTCCGGTTAAATGGATGGGATTGTGACGTCACAGGGATAACCAAACATGGACCTAATTAAAGTTGTTTGAAATTCACTACGCTTTTAAAGTGAAACCAAAGTACAGCCATAGACAGTTAAAATAACACGAACAAATGTTTGTTTGAAAAAAGTTAATGGAAAAGAAAAGCCATGTCATTCATTCAGTTTATGTTGACGCTGAAGTGTGCCCTGGCAGTTAATCAAGCCACCTGTTCAACCAGGTAACGGTAGTCACATTTGACTGCTCAAATAATACAAACAATTGCTTGTTAACTTTGGATATGTAGAGGATTTCTTTGTTTACAAGATACAGGACTAAGTTGCCTCTAGTTAGCACCATGTGTTGTCTGGCTATCTTTTGTATTTGTGTTTTATGTGAAGGCTACTTTTGTATCTCCTTGACAACGATTACGAAACGCACTTCAACTAAACGTTATTTGGTTCCCTTTACCAAGAAGTGGGTTTAATATTTTCAGTTGGCAGTAATAATATATTTTGGTGCCAACAACACTATCAGAATTATGCTATATCCTGGCTTTTTGGCCGGCCTTGGCTTTTGAAAAAAAATTATATATATATATATATAGTTAAAATAAATCAATTTTTTAGGTTGATTTCCCGTATTCAATGTATTCATTTTATATTGTGTTGTCATTTTTAACCCCAGTGAATAGGCATTTTTATTAGAGTTTTTCCTCAAACGCTAGCATACATTTGCCTGTAGCCTACGCCTGTTTTAAAATGGTTCTTCAGTTTGTTAAGCTTCTTATTAAAAGCCTAAAATGATTATCAGACTAGTTATAGAATTATTTTATTTTGATCGAGTAATCTACTAATAGTTTCAGTTCTATTTTCATGAAAAGAGCAGAGCCTAACAGAAATAAAATGATCATTAAGAATGAGGTTTTTATCATCCTGACGGCGGTAATTCTCGATCAAGACTTACAATTGTTTTATGTCTGTTGATTTGAGCCCTTTGCTGTGTGTTGTATACATTATATTACTGCTAAAAACAAATGTAATTATTTTTACTTAATCACCATAACAGCCACACATGTAAATACATATAAAACCATGTTAACAGGATTAGTAATTGCTTTTTTTCAGATTAGATGTCAGCTGACATGCAACATCAAATTCGGAACAGTTTCTTACCTGGGTGTCTTCTTCCTCAGCACTTGGAGGAAACCCAGCCGAATTGTCAACATTAGTACGAGTACCATTCCACTGATGGGGAAAAATTATAAGCAACGCTTTATGGTGAGTACATTACATAGTTAATAAAAAATATCTGAAGTTTACATTTTTCTATGTTAACACATTGTCTGTTGCACTTTAATATGAGTCCTGCCTCTCAAATATACAGTCAGATATTTAATTGTTATTGTACTTCATGATTACATACCTCCGCATTTGAATCAATTAGTCTGGTTTTATTGACCTGAAATAGAAAGGCATTGCACTTAAATAGGAAGTAAAATGTAACTGTCACTGCAGGAATAATACAAATTGAGACACTAGATAACCCTAAAAATATATAATTGTGTTCTACAACTGCAACACTGAAGTAGAACAATATGTGTTTTATAAAGATAACGTGTATCTTAACCATTGATGTAATTCAGATTATAACATTAAGGTCTGAGGCCAGACTTTGTGGAAAGAATTAATGACAAGAACATTTGACTCTCCCACAAAGTCTACCTACCATTGTAGAGTTGATTGTGGTGTTAAAGCCAGCAGGATTTTGCATCGGTAGTTGACTTCCTGGTGGCCACTGGAAATGTGATTTTAGAATGATTAGATCCAAAGAGTGTTTTCTTGGTATCTGGTTGACAGTTTATTTGCAAAGAAAAATTGACATTTGATTTAAAAAAAAACATAAAATATTAAAATAAATAGTAGCAGTATGATACATTCTGTCGGCCTCTCTTCTCTTCTGATTTTTTAAAAACTATGGAAATTAAATGTTTTCTAGTTTAATCTAATCTAAGTTTTTATCAAAATTAAGGTTGCAATACGTATGGAAGCAAAGAAATGTCATTTAGGATTTGTCTTATTACTGGATACAAACAGTGTGACATCTAAATATCACCTAATTTATGCTATGAAAAACAATTTTTACAAAGAAAACAATGTGTCATGTTTAATAATTCAGCGTTGTAAATTGTAAGTACTAGACAATTTAAAGTATATGCAAAAGTGTTTCAATAAGACAATTGGGTAGTCATATTCAAATTTTTGCTACGTTCTTTGCTACCATACATTTGAAAACTGCAAAAGTAACATTCAAGTAAATTTAAATTACCGTAACGATATATAAAAAAGGAACATTAGCAGTATATTTCATCAATTAGTTGTTTCCTTTTTCAGTGTTTTCTCCGATCTTACCACAGCAGATTTAGTCAATGCTGCTAGAATAAATCAAAATTAAAGTTTAAAATAGTCTTTAGTTTCGAAAATGAGAGGAAAATCAGCAGTTTTACCTTTGTACCAGATGATACTGTGAGAATGAATCCCAGAAAACACAGCAATGTGAGCCCTCTCATGTTGAATGTAGGTTAGCCTCCTGTCCGTACCATACAGTCAATGATCGGCGCATAACCCAACTTTATAGTATCCATGTCAGTAGGTGGAGTTTGTTTCAGTTTTTGCATGCACAAGTGTTTTGTGTTTCACTTGTAGCTTAACTTCAAAGTCCATTTTACTCGTATATCAGCCCTTTTAAGGACACTAACATTTGATTTAAAAAGTGTATTTATCGCTCATCCCATGGAAAACGGTCACATTACTTTATCCACAAAGTCTACCCACCATAAATTACTCTTCTTTTGTTACCCTGCTCATCTTCACCTATCACCTATTTGGATTAGAAAAAAAAACGTAATCCAAGGACATAACAATGTTTAGATAGTAAGGACTTTGACATTACAATTCAAACATTGCAAATACAAGATCAATAAGTCAGCCCACTTCATGTTGTAAAGCGAGTTTAGAGCTTTTTAGCAAATGAGAATTTATATACAGAAAGTTCTAAAATAAAACATAGAATTGTTGTTTGGAGTTGGTTTCCTCCACTTTTATGATCACCAGACTTACCCTTTCTTCCCCTTTTTATATTTGAATTTATATATTTGTATATATATATATTTATACATTAATTTCTGAATTTAATTGTTTTAATTGTTTTTAGAAATGTTCAGTGATGATTGTAGGTGAACAAGAAATGGAAAAACCCTGAGATCGACTCTAATGTATTTTACAGAATTACTTGAGAACAGGTGGTGGTAATGTGCCAGTGAAAGCAGTAAAGAAGAAGAGTGCACCTTAACAAGGTAGGAATTACAAATATTTATCGGCTTTTGAAATATTTTATTAGGAAGGACATTTTTGGGGGGATTTTATGGATAACAAGGATATACATGATGCATTTGGTGAGTAACAGCTTCTTCTCCGCATGGAAGCAATATAAGTTAAAATACCTCAAGTTAATATTTAATACAATAACAGTTTTTATATGATTCAAAACATTTATTTATAGGAAGAAAATACGAAAACAACTTATGAAACCCTTTTTAATTATTATTTTCTTTAATTACATTTTTAGATGTAAACTCTTGAAATTGCAATTTTTAAATCAAAATAAAGAGTACAAACTAAAATAAGTCAATAAGTCTCAAATGCATTAAAAATGACTGCCATTTTATAATACAGGATTGCACTGAAATATAGCTTTTGTGTAGTTTTTCAAATGGAAAATTAGTTTGAATTATTATTAACCAATTATCCTGGCACCATTATAGGAAACACAGGTGGAATAACTAAGTCTAGAGTAGACCATAGGTCTAGACTCGTTTTTTAGAAGATAATTTAGCCATCGTGACTTAATAAGACACAACACTGAAATACAAATAGTAATCGGTGTGTTTGAGAAACATTTTAATCATAATTGTCATTAATCGTCGTATCTATCCTTAAATGCACTGGCGTGGGCTCTGCCTCTGCGCGCGCACGGGCGTTGCCATGACGCTGAATGGAAACCACAGAAGGTGAACAGAGGAGATGTACTGTAGCTGATAAAGTGAGCTAAAATGAGCAATTCTCACCTGATAAGCCCCGATTCTTTTAGTTCAGGTGGATTTAGTTAAAAATATCCACGAGTCTGACGCAGTTTTAAAGGCACTCAACTTGAGTTTTGTAGTGTTGTCGTCGTGTTTCTGTTGAGGGGATATGAAGGCTCACAGCGGTGAGGTCGGAGTGTTTGTCCGGATCAGACCAACGGCAAACTTCTCCCAAGACATTATTGAATGTCTTCCTGACGGACAGGTAAAACCCCTTTTAGTCGGAATTAAAGTTTATTTAACTTCCCGTTGATTTTATTTTTGAAAACATAAAGCGAGTCAAAGTTTGATTTGTAGGCCTATTGAGGTTAAAAATGGAACTTCAAACTATATTTTCCCAGCAAGCATGATTCTGGTTGTTTGCAAGTCAATCACGTGAAGCCGGCTAATTTAAACCGGTTGACGTTAATTCGGTAAATCCAAATAAAACGATAGTCTTATTAGCTAGGGTTTATTGGGGCCAAACCACAACTTTCACAAATATAACTACTGTAACGTTTTGCCTTAGAGGCCTTTTTTTATGTCAGTCATAACACCAATGCCGATGTGTCAAAGCAAAAAAGGGTACAGGTGCAATCACTTTAATTAATGAGGGCACCAATTCATAATGCTAGGTGTCAAGTTCCAAGGTCCTGATATGTGCCTGTTATGCATGATGCTTAGCAAGCAATTTAATGTAGGAAAGCATTCCATCATTGTTTTACTTGGAGCTGTTCCTGTATTTCTAGACAACATTTCTAAAGTTATACAGTATGTTGCTTAAGGTAGTTGCTTTATTCATTTGCAACTGGTTTAATGTTTGTTTAGTCGCTCAATCAGTCATTATTATGTTAGGCAGTAATGCCACTGGTTCCATCTCAGATATTCAAAAATAAAGGTTTAAAGGTAAAACATTGTATAGTGAATTTAATATCTCTAGGTTTTGGACTGTTGGTTAGGCAAAACAAGCCATTTCAAGACACCATGTTGTGCTAAGTGAATCTCCTAAAAATCTTATGGCATTTTATAGACTAACCAATTAATTGAAAATGGATAAAACAACAGATTCATTTTGATGATAATGACGTTAACTATTGGTGTCAGCCCTGGATGCTCAACAACACACACAAAGTCGGTTGCTAGTTGCATATACACCCAGTTGAAACTACTGAAGTCTTTTATAACAATACTGCTATTAAGCCTGACTTCATTAATAATTTGTATTTCATTTGGCACTTCATCTTGTTTTCCTTACATTTTAAACCTCTATAAATGTTGTGGCATAATGTCCTGAAAGTATTAGTTTAAATAATAATTATATGGACAATCTTGCACTAATATTTATTTTTGCACATTCGATGGACAATCTGCACTAATGTACATTCTCAAAATATTGAAGTTTGGTACACTCAAAACTTTTATTATGTTAAGACAGTGAATATTCATCACAAGAAAGACACCAGGAAGCCCCTCTGCCCCAGAAGGATTCAGCGGAGTTCCTGGTCATTCCGACTGGAGGGCGTCCTGCAGGATGTATCCCAGGAAGAGGTGTACACCAGAGTTTGCAGACGGGTGGTGCTGGGAGCACTGGATGGCTATAATGGTAAATCTGTTAATCTACATAAAACTGTGTTATGTGTAGTAGAGAGTTTATACCTGATAAGCAAGTTTAATGCATCCTTTTTTCTTTATTGAGCCAGAGAACAACACGGTCTAATACACTCCCTGTGTGTCTTTCAGGTACTGTGCTGTGTTTTGGGCAGACGGGTGCAGGAAAGACATACACCATGACAGGCTCCACAGAATCATACAAGCAGAGAGGCATCATTCCTCGGGCCATTCAGGAGGTAACTCGCACTATGTGAAAGTGCATCTGAAACATCCTGACTGCTCCACTTAAACCAGGGGTGTCCAAACTACGGCCTGGGGGCCATTTTGAATCGGCCCTCAGCAGATTAAAAAACTATAATGAAATATGGCCCACAAATTAAACTTGTGCATGTCTTGTATTGTACATCTTAAATATATATGTGAACATATATTACACAGTAGTATTCATGTGTTAATGAGCCCATTTTTCAAAGAAATTCAGTCAATTAAAGTAGAATTTTTTTGTTTTTGTTGAAAAGTTGATAAGAAAAAAGCCCAATAACTTATTTGTATAACAAGCTTGAAATATACCATTCCTATTTCCCCTTATTATAATCAATCTGAGGCTCCTGTTTTAAGGGATGAGCTGCTACAAAACAAATGAAACCCTCTGGAGAGCTGGGATGTAGGCAGTTTTTTCTTAAGGCATATTCAAGTAACAAGCATCATTTACCTACATTTGATTGATTTTACTAACTTATAACTTCACTTATGAGGCAATATACCTCAACTTTAGTATGTGGCCCTCGGTGAAAAAAGTTTGGACACCCCTGACCTCTCATATGGTATTCAGGTGTTTCAGGAGGTGCAGAAAAGGACTGAGCACACTTTCTCTGTATACCTGTCCTACTTGGAGATCTACAATGAGACCCTGGTGGACCTGCTGGCCTCGTTGCAAAGCTCAGCACACCCCAGTCCACGTAGTATGGTGATAAGTGAGGAGCCAGGCAGAGGAGTGTTCATCAGAGGTCTGTCCCTTCACCCGGTCCACAGTGAGGAGGAGGCTCTGAACCTGCTGTTCGAGGTGTGTGTCTTCATTTGACCAGCAAACACAAAATGACATTGTTTCAATGTTTTAAACTGTTGATCCATAGGTCAAGTATCATTTTTTTCTAACGGTACGTCCACACGGCAGCGTTGCGTGCTTCAACGGAGACGCTTCCCATTCACTTTGAATGGGGTGACGTCACGCTTTGCCGAACTGCATTGTGGTTCCGTCGCGTCGCTTTGCCTCCGTTGCTCGCTTCGAAAGTTGAGAAAAGTTCAACTTTTCAAGCGTCGACGGAAGCGCCAGCCAATCAAATCATATGCCAGTACAAGCTCTAGCCAATGCGTGCTTGTGTGTCCGGGGCGGGAGATTAATGTGATTGGTTGTTGGTCGCACGCCAGACACGCCCACCGGCAAGCTTCAACGCAACGCTGCCGTGTGGACGTACCGTAACGCAGCGTCCACACGGCGGCGTGCGTTGAAGCTTGCCGGTGGGCGTGTCTGAAACTCGACCAACAACCAATCACATAAATCTCCCGCCCCGGACACACAAGCACGCAGTTTGATTGGCTAGAGCTTGTACTGGCATATGATTTGATTTGCTGGCGCTTCCGTCGACCTTCAAAAGTTGAACATGGCTCAACTATTGAAGCGAGCAAAGCGAAGCGACGCGACCACAATGCAGTTCGGCAAAGCGTGACGTCACCCCATTCAAAGTGAATGGGAAGAAGCGTTGAAGCTTCAACGCACGCCGCCGTGTGGACGGGCCGTAAGTGTTTCCACTGAACACATGACCACAGCAAAACATTTGAAAGTGTATTACTATTAACTAGTATTTCAGTCTATTTTAATCCTATTTTTTATGCAGTTGTTTGAATGGGTTTTTGATGGTGGGAGCTGTATATTTAGTTTGTTTTAATAGAGAAACACATTTTATAATTGACCCTTCACAAAACTGTTTTCTCTTTGTTCAGGGTGAGATGAATCGCGTTATTGGATCTCATGCCTTGAACAGGAACTCCTCCAGGTCCCACTGTATCTTCACTTTGCATTTAGAGGTATGCCTAAAGAAATACCTTTAATGTTTTGCTTTATTGTTTTCTGTGGTGTTTTTTTGTTTAAATATGCCTTTTCCTGCATACGATTTTAAGCACAAGGAAATGTCTTTCTCAATCTCAGTCTCGCTCACGGACTCTGTCTGATACCAAGTATGTCACCTCCAAGTTGAACCTGGTGGACTTAGCTGGGTCAGAGAGGCTGGGAAAGACTGGGGTGAGTGTGAGACTGTCTGACTTTACCAGTTCACATATTTATGTTGACAAGCCATAAAATAGTTAGTTTGGCATAATATACACGTTCTAACATGTTACACCACTTGAATAAAGTCATGTCGAGTTGGGATTTTAGAGTCACCGAGTCTATTTCACTTTTATAAAGAATAGCTAAATGTAGTCTTTTTAGAATGATCCGTGGTCTAACTTCATGTAATGCCACCTTCCTGCTCTTCCAGTCAGAGGGTCAGATGTTCAAGGAAGCCATGTACATCAACAAGTCGTTGTCTTTCCTGGAGCAGGCCATCCTGGCCCTGGCCGACCGTCGCAGAGACCACGTTCCCTTCAGACAGACTAAACTCACTCATGCCCTCAAGGACTCATTGGGTGAGACTGCTGGCCCCTTCACTTCTAACAACGCTGTTAGCTGATATTTGATGGTCTATATGTTTTTTTCTCTGTGTACTAATACTTGAAAAACAGGAGGGAACTGCAACACTGTGCTTGTGGCAAACATCTACGGTGAGGCGTCCCAGACAGAAGAAACAGTAAGGAGTGGAATATATTATATAATACAAAAAAACGGTAAATGATGTCATATAATCTCTGGATGATAAGAAATATCCTTTGCAGCTCTCTACACTGCGTTTTGCCAGCAGAATGAAGTGCATCCGGACAAATCCTGCTGTCAATGAACACATGGATCCAGCTGTAAGTTCACAGGAAATGACACTTACCAAAAAATATGACATGAAAACTCAGCTAGGAATCATACATTTGTATTATTATGTATTATTTTACTACATGTTTGATGTACTCTCTGTCAGTCGTCAGAAAACAGAGTGATCTCATGAAACGTTCTGTTGTGATTAGGCTCAGATCAAGAAGCTAAAGAAGGACGTACAGATGCTGAAAGAGGAACTGTCCTTCGGTAATACATTGGTGAGTAGAGCTATTATGAAAATTGTGAAACTACGCATGTTGTTATGTCTTTGTCAATTGCCCTGTTTTTTTATTTAGCTAAATTGGCAACTTGAAAAATTAGCCAGCAGATCATTTAAAAAGGCCTACAGTAGCGGGGCAATCATAGTAATGGCATTTTGCAGTTGTTTCCCAAACACATTTCAGTTGCTTCATATGAGAAGGTAAATGACTAATATTCACACTTCACTAGGTGAACCGGCCCAGCGTACCGTACGATCCGTTGTCTGAGGCCCAGCTGGCCGAGATCGACAGCCAGGTTCAGAGGTACCTGGAGGGAAGCCTGAAGGAAATCAGTGTGAGAAGATGTACAGAAACACAACAATACAACATTTTAGAATCTACACTTGAAGGCTTTAAATCTCTTTCTGCATGACATCTAATTACAGATCACAAGTGTCAGTCAGGTCCGAGCATTATTCGCCAAGTTCAAGCTGGCTGTGCAGTAAGTATCATCCACCCTTTTGAAATCAACAACCTTAAACAAGTAGGGTTTCTTTAGACAAAACATTGGACACTGTTTTTGTTAATGGTAAGTAATTCCACATGTTTATTTATGTCTGTTAGCAGGGGACAGGAGCAGAAGGTGAATGCTCGATTACGTCAGACCTACAACTTGGGGGAGGAAGACCGAAGAGCTGATACACCTGCTGTCAAGGTCAATCTACTTCTGATTCACTGTTCATGCCATCTCGTGGAAATGAAGAGTTGTTGTGGGTGTTCATTTCTTTACTGACAGCCTGTTTGGTAAACAATTCACTGTAATTGTGCTGTGATACATTTGACTTTGTAAACTATTTTAGGAGTGGGATACCAGAGGCAGCACTGAGGAAGATGAGGCTGGCAGCTTTGAGGTGTCACACAAAAACACCCAGCGCCCGAGTTCAACCAGAGCCAAAACTAAAAAGTCTAAGGACAAACAGAGGTAAGGGAACATTTGGTTTGAACTTTTTTCCTCCGATGACTGATTCTGATCATCTTTTTAAAGTATTCAAAGATAATAAGTACATATATTTGTCACTTTCAACCCTGATAAGTTTGCATGCCTGGATTTAAACACACCAGTTTTCCTAATGACGCACTCAATGTGATTATCCAGCCAAAGCAAGAGACAAGGAGAGGAGAGTCCGGTCTCTAAGAAGCATTCGGACTCTGCCTCCAAACCAAAGCTGAATACTGTCCAGAGCCCCGAAAGGGAACAGGAGTTACAGGAACCAGACACGGAGAGCCAGGAACCACAGGAGTCACAACCAAATGGCAAAGAACCCTTTCACCCTGAGTATGTGTTTGTGCTATAAAAGGGTAAGCTCAGATATCGCTGGTAGTCCTACACAGTAAATGTAATGTGATGTTTTATACCATTGCTGTCTCTGCCCAGCTCTACTCTTACCAAAGCGGAAGCCTTTGATGATTTTAAAATGGGCAGAGGCAGCAAGCTAAATCGCATCCTTCAGGAGAACAAGGCCGTGCTACTGGAGCGCCGCAGTCTTCATCGGCAGCTAACTGACAAGGTCAACGCTGTGAAGAGAGAGATCGACTGCACCGCGGCCACCATGCAGCAGTACAGGGAGACGAGAGGAGGCCAAGGTACTTCAAATGTTTGGATCATTATGAAACATGACCCTTTAATTTACTTTATTTTGGCTTTTTTATTAAATACTATTCTATTACATTTTTATTATATTATACTATTTTATTTGCTTATATTTTCAACATACTTTACTATGTAGTTTCTTCTGACCGCAGGCCATTTTGAATCGGCCCTAATTCAAAAAGTACACGGGAATATGGCCCACAAATGAAACTTTTGCTTGTCTTGTATTGTACTTCTTAAATATATATGTAAACATATATTACACAGTAGTATATCATAAGCCCACTTTCAAATGAATTCCAAAAATTAAAGTTGAAAACATTTTCTAACAAATCTAAAGTTGATTAAAAAAAAAAGCCTAATAACTTATTTCCATGACCAGCTTGAAATAAACCCTTCCTATTTCCCCTTATTATGAGCAATCTGAGGCTTCTGTTTTAAGGAATGAGCTGCAAACAAAACAAATGAAACCCTCTAGAGCTGTGATGTTGGCTGTTTTTTCTTAAAGCATATTCAAGTATAAAGCATAATTTGCCTACATTTTGCTAACTTATAACTCAACTTATTAGGCAATATACCTCTCCTCTAGTAAGTGGCCCAGCTCTTCGTATGTGGCCCTCGGAGAAAAAAGTTTGGACACCCCTGTACTAGACTATGACTTTTTTACGACATACCATACTAATAGATTTTTTGAAATATAAATTCACCATTCGATATTTATGACAGTTCCCCCGTACTATTCGAAGACCTATTTTCAACATACTATACAAAGATCTTTTAAAATATTTGTTCCTGATATTTTTAATCATTGTAGTAATTATTGATAAAATGCATAAAAAAACATGGTATTTTATGTGGGAATAAGGCACGGTATAGTGTGTAGAAACCAGGCGTATAGTATGTCGTTAAAAATGACAGAAAAGTCGTCGTATAGCATGTTGAAAAATATGACAAACTTTCATTACCTTTTTTGACCTACTACACAATGTCTTTTTCTTTTACAGTATGTATTATAATACGACCTTTTTAACAACATACTATGACTATTTAGTATGTATATTCTTCTGATATTTTTTGACAAACTATGATATATTTTTTACATTTTTAAGTATGATATTTTTCAACATTCTATACTGCGACATTGCACGTTATGACATATTGATGATATACTGGGAATTTAAACTTTACCAGGGGTTCATTAAGTTTGAATGACTTCATTAATGACAGTTTAGAGAGCCAACACAAAAAGTTCTCTTTTTTTAAATTGATAATTTTTGCTTAGATAAGCATTAAGGACTTCTTTTCATTTCATTTTTTGTATGAAGGTCGGTATTCGGAGCCAGATGACACCTTATTGAACCAGCTCAGAGAGCTGAAGGCCCTTTACCGGCAGAGATATGAGGTGCTGCACGAAATCAAGGCAGAAATCAACTACTGTCAGCACCTGGTGGATCAGTGCAGGGTGCGCCTGCTATCTGGTCAGTTCTCTAAAATCTTTATCAACTTCTTACATGGCACAGCTCAGAGCTTTCATAGGTGCTTCAAAACCTCATACATACTCAATTGCTTGTTTGTGTCCCAGAATTTGAGAAGTGGTATAAAAAGTATTCCCTGGTACCCGAGGAGGATCTGGAGTCATCTATGGATAACACCCTTGATCAAGTGAGTCTTCCTGAGGTAAAAGCTATGTAATGCTTCTGGTAGTATTCCATAAAGAAACTAAGTAAAAGATGTAACTAAATGTTGGTTCTGACTTGTTGATATCAGTGTGATGATAACCAGCTTCCTCCTGAGAGCTCCAGCTCTGAGTCCTTCCACAACGCCCGCTACACAATGCTGAGAAGGGTGGGTTTGAACAACGACTTATTTCATTAAATGATATTACAAGAATAGTGATAGGTCTGTATTTACACCAATCACCTTTGTGTAGCCACATGATTATCAACAATGTGCAGAAAGTGTAACCTTTAGTAATGTCTCTGCAGAGGAACACCCGGTCGCTGTGCGTCACTCCAGAGCAGAGGAGCTCGTCTTCAGGGTCCAGACAGAGAACACTTCCTCAAATCCCCCCCGTTAGCTAAGTGAGTTTATGTAAAAACTACATTATGGTCTCCACATCTTCTTTTCTCTTGGAGTTTTTCTTTATTCAACCAGTGCATTAATCAAGCAAAAAAGACTCTACACAACAGATCAGCTTCTTAAATGAAAAGTAAAATTTATTATTCCTGAACCACAAAATAGACTTCTTTGGTTGTACAAATTCACTAGTTACAGTCTTGTGAGCTCTAACCCTTGACCCTAGAACTTCTGACCCTTTCCCTCTGACATATTTGCAAGTAAAAGTCCCAAAAAAGAACTCGAGACAAAAGAATAAACACAAAAACTTGAAACACTGCATTAATAATGTAGTGAAACCCATCTGAAAAAAAAGAATGACCTACTGCAAGTAAAAAAAAAAAAGATATCAACCATTGCAAATGTTATCAAACAAACTGAATTTCAGTCAGTGAGAGCAACATGGAAAGCTATGATTAAAAGACCCTACTTTAAATTAAAACAAATGCTACTATGCTGTGATTCTGCAAAAATACCCATCAGATACATAAACTGACAGCATGTGGAGCAGTGAACTGAACAATGTCTTGAGAGGGATTTCTAATTGCTTCTGCCCCCCGCAGCTCTTCCATTAACAAACCAATATACATGCAGAGAGCATCCCAGCACCAAGCCTGTAAGACTGACTCAGTTTCAACCCGACGTTTGCTTTCCTTTCAGTATTTGTACATTATTCACACAATAATAAAATGATTTTTCAGTGGCGTCAGATTTAAATAGACAGAAAAATAAAACACCTGCTACCTTCACATCACTCTGGAATACCTCCAGATAATTCAAGGATACAAATGAATGATTCACATTGCAAAATAAAAAAATAAGACCCTAAACAGGGCAGGTACCGTTAATTATTAAATGATACTATGCATGGTTCCAAACGTGTGATATGTTTATCTGTAAAAACTGCCTGCTTAGTGTAGTCAGATTCTCTCAAAGGGGAATGTAACAATCACAAGTATGACCAACTACCGTGAGCAACAGATATCAAGAGATCTAATTATTGATATGCTTCTCTAAAAATGTGAAATGAATTAGTTTAGTATTTAAAGATACATTACGATAACCATCAGTAAAAACAAAGGAGGTTAAAACAGAGGGCCTTCAATTTGAGTAAAACGCTAAAAACAATAAATTACTTAAGATATATGTTCTTTAAAAGCTGATAGGTGGCAGTGCAAAAAGGATATGTACTGTTTTTTTAAAGCTCTCCACAATTTGTGACTGAAGGTAGCAGGATGTTCCCTCAATTAATATATACACTCCTGTCCGAGTCTCTAGAAACCCCTGACTTTTTTACAATCTAGTCACTGAAAGGCTAAAAATATCATTCAACAAGTTAGTAAGTATAGCTATGACCCATTTCTTTTCTCTTCCAGTATGTTCTTTTTAAACAGCAAAATCATTAGAGGTGCAAAATTAAAAAAAATAAAAACTTCGGCCGCTTCCTTTTTAAAATAGATAAGCTTCTACTTGGTAAACCGAGTGTACAACAACAAAAAGAGAATGGTCTGTAAGTAGCGACAGCTAGCTAACCACACTACAGGGTTGTTGCCCTGTAGGGACTGCTCAGCAACCTGCCATCCACAGACTGGCAGCAGGATATAAGAGTGTCGTCTCTGCAGTGGTTATATATGGGAGAGGAAATCTCGCTCTACTGTGTAGTGTTTAGTGACTCTGTGTTCCCAGTGTTCCACAGTGCATCTTAATGTGTGTGTGTGTGTGTGTGCATCATGTCGTGGGCTCTCTCTCCTCTCAGTGAGCCGTTACGTGGGCACGGCGGTCTCCAGGCTGCGGCGGCCCTGCCTCAGTTTGCGCTTGTTGCTGTACAGGGCCATCTCCTCCAGGGCCGAGGTGGTAGGCAGCGGGGGGGGCACCTCAGCCTCAGGGCTCGCAGCGGGAACTAGACAAAAAAACAAGAACAACTTTAGTCATCGTATCTATCGAGCGTCTGCAGTTCAGCATCTCTATACAACTATCACTCCCCAGCGGCAGCTGCAGAGGGGAAGAAAGACGAAGACAACTGGAAAGAAGATCCCTGTGGAGCGTTAGAATGAGGAGCAAAGTGGAGGGAGCCCTGAAACCTGCGCAGGAAGCCCCACATTCACATCAGCAGCTGGAAACAAGCACAAGTCTTTAGCAGCTGATTTAAACCCTCCACCTCAAGGTCTAATTGGCAATACCTTATCAAAAAACGTTTGTTACAAACTGTGATTTCATGTATTTGAGTAACTGTGTTGCGTTGGGGTTCTCCAGTAAGTGGATTTCTTGGCTATGTAAATACACTTAACTGGGTTTATTATTGGCATGTGCATGATAAAGCCTTCAGACAGGAAAGAATGCTGCCAGCAGAGGGGATGCTAAAATGCTTACAATCAAGTGTCTAGATACAACTCCCTGCATGAGTTTGCAGATTGGAGGGAAGTAGTTCATGTGGCACAACAGCAAGGTCACTTCCTGTATATTTAAGTAAAAGCCCCTACTTCCATGCAATATGCAAACTCATTCAGGCAGTTACAATAAAGGAGGTGTCGAGTAACAGAAAGGAGATAATGACATCTATGAATGTGTCCTCATGTTCAAAATAATTCAGAGCGACACTGACATGTGTACGGTAAGAAAAAGCAGTCAACACTACAATAGTTAAAGTCAGCTGACTAACCTGGTTTGCATGTAAACATAATAATAAAACCACTCAAAGCTTCCTAGTAACTATTTTCCTATAACTAGTTAGATCAACAAATCCATGCACATCTGGGTCGTGGTTAGACTGAGGTCATTAGTTTAAACAGGAATCAGATGCTGCTTCCTATGTGAAGGGCAGCAGCAGGCGAAGCACACCCTTCTTAACACCTGAACCACAGTGTTAGGCCACAGAACTGGCATGTTAGAGTATAAATGCACACACCAACACATCTCATAGACAGTCAGGCTTACAATCTCACACACACAGAGGATCCTACCAATAGGAGCTGCTTATCCCAGGTAGTCACCTGAATGAAAGGGAATAGAACGGGTAATAAATGAGTAACTTAATGCCCACACACTGTTTTCTCACGCTCATTCCTTTCACTCAACCTGTTTTTGTTTCATTTGACTGACTGCATATCTGCAGTACTAACCTGGGTTGCTGGAGCCGTCGTCGATGAACTGCAGCTCTTCCACTGCGTCAGGGGACTGGAAGAGAGAGGAAGACTGTCAATAACTGAGTGTGTGTGTGTGTGTGTGTGTGTCAGTCACCTGCATCCCAGGGGAAGCCATCACCATGCCAACACTACGCGCTCCCAGTCTGTTAGAGCACCTCTGCTCCACCACTCCCCAGGAGAGATAGCCATGTTAAGGGAAAGGGAGGTTATGTTAGGTCATCAGGTCCGGGGGTTGTTGTGTGTGCAAACACAAAGAGACAGCCAACAGTGCAGCACCAACAAGAGTCACCAACGCACAACAGGAAACTTGGCACAATGTTCAGTTGGTTTTGTGTTGATGCTATTACACACCAACACAGATCCTGTTTCCCCATGTAGATCTGTGATGAAGGGTTCTTTAAATTCTACAAAGGTGTACATAACCTGCAAGAGAATCATGTGACTGCTAGCATGCTAACTATTGACTGTGCTAGCTGATCTTATCTTACAGGACACGTCAGCTGTGGGAGTCACAATATTGTATTATGAGTTCAAAATTGACACATTAAAGCAATAACTCATGTTTCTTTACTCAAACTGTCTTCATCGTTATTATATTATTCTGGACTGGACCAATCTGCATAATTAGTACTTTTATTTTGGTACTTTAAGTTTATTTTGATGCTAATACTTTAACATTTTGAATTAAGGACTTTTACTGTATTCCTACACTCTGGTACCATGTACGTCTTCCTCCTCTGCTAACAGTCACAGATACTTGACCTTCCAGAGAAGCTCAGTGCAGGATGGCTCTGCTTCACCACCCATCTCTTCTTCCACACACAGAGAAGACCATGTCACACAGAGAAGACCATGTCACACAGACTAACACAAAGCCTCCACCCTAACGAAAGAGCAGGAGGAGAGCCAGCGCATGACAGAAAATGTGATATAGGATGATATTTCTCGGCCTGATATGCGACCCATGCGAACAGGCAGCCGATGGAAGTGACCGTGAGAGTGGATGAGATGCAGAGTTTGTGGACGTTTCTACCCCAGGAAGAAATTTGGGTTAGTGGGAACCAGAAACTGTCCCTGCAGCTGGTGAGTGTTAGTGTCTGTGATTGATTAGTATGGTGAGAGACAAATGGATGCTATTACATTGGTGAGTGATATGTGAAAGACCAGGAAGGTAGGATGGGGGGGGGGGGCTGATATGGTGGGTCATTTGCGTAAAGTCTCTTCATTGTATTCCAGTAATGTGTGTTGCATGTTTTAAATGTATTGTATTTACTTGTTTAAAATGAAATGTGTTTTAGGTTGACTTTTAAAATCTGCCCAGGGACTACAGATGAAAAATAGCCTCTTGGCTAACTGGCACATTTACAGAAATGTTAATGAATGTGCACTGTCCCTGTTAAATAAATGAATAAATAAATACAAATAAAATTGTAGAAGTAAGAGTTAGTGAGCCAATCCCTGTAGTGCAGAGCAGGAATTACTGACCAATCACGGAGCAGAAACATACAATCGAGTTGCACTGATTTCAGTTGATTAACAGAAACTAAAAGAGGGGCAGCAGGGAAAGCTGGGAGTGGGGTGGGGAGGCCGGGGCCTCGGGAACTCAGCATGCAGCCAATACCTGGATGTCGTATACGGGTTTGGAAGAAGGAATGGCAGCAAACTGTCGGTAGTCAAACTTCTTTGACGACAGGGACTAGAAGGATAGCAAACGGGAATGAGCAGAGGTCGAGGGAGGAGAGGAGAACAAGGACAGGAGGAGGCAGGACAAAGTATAAGAAGAGAGGAGAAGGAAAATGTCAGAGGAGAGGAAAAGGGATGAGGAAATAGAAAGGGGGGAGGCAGAGAGGCTAATGGGTGATTTAAACAGCCAGCTGTGGCACATAAAGGGAGAGCTGTGTGTTCTCAGCTCTGATTGGCTAGAATGACAATGAGCAAGATGGTGGATTAATGCAAATGTGATTTGATGCAAATCTACTCTCTTTTCCCAGCTTGTAAACAATCAATCTTATTTGTTTCAATTCCCAAATAAAGTTCCTTAAATTAAACTGCAAACTCACTGTTACAGCTCGGTTCAAATATCTGCAAGTCCGCTCTAAGGACACATATTCACTTTGATAAACCTGTTAAAAGAAATGATGAAAAAAGATGAGTGCTTACCAGCCGACCCGGAGAGGTGACTCCTCGGGGACTGAGCTCTGTAAAGAGAAAACAGGAAATGAAAAGTGAGACAGCCTTACAGCTTATTTGTAGGTAAGTGGGATAGGATGATTTATATAGTTCTTTTTAAAACAAAAGTTAGTCAGTGGTTCACAAAAGCAGCAGCTTCTTACCTTCCATAGGTGTGGGAGAGGGGGTGGGGGCGGGCGAGGGCGACTCTGTCAGCTGGTCGAGTGTCCCACGCTTCTTTCCGTCCCGAGACTTGGCGATGACCATCTGAGCTTTCAGTGCATCCTGCTCCAGAGACTTCATCCTACAAGAGGAACAACCAGCGTCAGATACATGGAAGCAGAAAACAAGGAAACAAACACAGAGGCAGTCACTGAGGCACACACCGCTACAGGTGGGGGCCGATCACTACTAATGTCGGGTGCTCCTTGTCCTGGTCTGCTGTCACAAACAACCAGTTTAATTCAATTTCACAAAAAAGAGGGAGGCATTCCAGGAAAAGGACTACCTACTGCCAGAAGGCGACCCTTTACTCACACATAGCTTGCAAACTGACTGCGGGATGTGTGTTAGTACAAATAATGAAAATCAAGAGAACAGCAAGGTGCAAATAAAAAGTGCTGCAGGGAGGAGCAGAGAAACAAAAGAGAGGGGGGGGGGGGGGGACCAGAGGAAGCAAGAGATGGAAACAGCAAAGACGTGCAGAAGCTTCTAGAGTCCACAGGAAGCACGGTCACTGCTGCTGCCAGTGCTTGCTTGGACCTCTCCTAACTCGGCTTCTAGCAAAATACCCCAAAGCACCCGAGCACACCCCCACGACGCCGTGCGGCTGGCCCTGGGGGCTGGGGCCGAGGAGCAGACCTGAGCTGGGAGGCTGCAGAGGAGCAGGAAGAGGTGGGGGGCTGGGGGGCCTCGTCCCGGCCCTGAGACGCCCTCACTCTGGCCTGGTAGAGCCTCTTAGCCAGGTCCTGCTCATACTGCCTAACATCATCCTCTAGGCCGCAGGGCCTGGGCCCCAGGGGACCAGGGGGAGGGGGGGAGACAGGAGGGAGGATAGAGGTGCACCAGGAGGGAGGAGGAATATGAGGAAGGAAAGAAAGGCATACAGACAGGAAAAGAGAAGAAAACCAAAGAATGGAAGGTAAAACACTGACACATTTAGAAGAGCCAGGAATAATATATAACCAGAGAGGAGCCTAACCACAGAATGAACTGTGGACTTATGTTTAGTTTGACTGCACATAGAAAAACTGACAAACAGTTTATTAGGAAATCAGGGACAAAGGGGTCACAAACCATTTCATCAACACACTACGTGGGCTTGATGTTTTAGCCTTAGGTTCACAACATTACAAAATAACCCCTAATGTAAGGGTTCATACATTTTTTTAATAAAACGTTTAATCAACATAATATTTGGGATTTTGTCTCTTGTTTCCTAGTTTCAGATTAACTTCTGAACAACATCCACATGCCTCCATCATAGGTCAAGGTTTAAGGTCCCAGAAAACAAACTTCCCACTCTAATAAACTCTGACTCACGCTTTATTCAAACTAGTGCGGAGCAAAAATATAATGTATCTGTAGACAAGTGTAATATCACTTTGGTGAGAATAGATAAAGCCTGTTCAAAGACCTGATAAGCCGTTACACCTTGTTAGTCAGAACGTGTTGTATGTGTTCTAATTACCGTGCTGCCCTCCACATGGCTCTCTTCTCGGCCTCCAGAGCTCGTTTCTCAGCAGGGGACAGGTCCTTGTCGGAGGCCACAGACAGCTCGGGGCTCTGCATACGGAGCTTCTCCTGGTGCCGCCGCTCTGCTTTGGCTGTGCGGATGGGGGCCGCAGAGTCCCCGGTGTACGCTGGGATCAGACTGGAGACACACAAGAGGAAGTGAGGACAACGTGACAAAGACAGCAGCAAAGAGGCCTTTTAACATGTCGAGTGTGATGTAATTACCCAGTCATGGAGTTGGGTCTCTGCTCCATCCTGAAGCTGTCCTCTAGTGAGTTCCTCTGAGAATCTCCTTTACCATCAACAGAAGAAGGCCTGCATACAAAAACACCATTAGCTGAATAAACAAAAAATAACATCTAACGCAAAAATAATAATATCCCGCTTCCTACCCTGAGCTGCCACAGTAGCTGGGCGGCGTGACGTTGTAGCAAGGTGGGGTAGCGCAGTGCTGGGTGGGGGTAGACACTGGCTCCACGTTGTACTCCACTCCGTCCAGCAACACCTTGCCGGTGGCCTTCATCTGCGCCACCTGCTTCGCCAGATCCTCCTCCTCGTCCTCCTCGTCTTCATCCATCAGGTACTCCCGCGCCCGCTGCTCAAACTTCCTCTCTGGGGGGGGTAAGAGACGCAGAAGTGTGAATTTCAAAGACAGGTTAGCAGGGTTTCTTATGTTCATTCGTTTTTGGCAGGGAGTGTTCAAGGAGAAACAGTAGGAACAAACCTTCTTCTTCCCTCATTTTCTTAAGGTCATCTTCTCCAACAAGAGACACTCGAGGTTTGGGTTTTTCTGGTGTCTGCTGCTTCACGTCAATCTCAAAATACTTCTGTCTGTCCCTAAAGGAGCGCTGCTCTGGGCTGCCCCGACCACCAGGAGAGGGACTCTGAAAGAAAGATCAAGGACATCATATTTATGATGTCCTGTTGTCATGGCACCTTCAATCTTTAGATAGAACAACGAGATGAAAGCCAGTGTTTGCTGCTAATGATTTTATTGCTATTAGCATTGTTGCCCAGCCATCAAAGAGGATATCACAATAGATGCCAGAGGAAAAAGTATCATAGACCAAGAAGAAGGAAACAAATTAGCCATTTAAACAGAACCCAGCACCATGAGCCGATTTACAATCAATTAACTGGCAGTCCCATCATTGAAATAACATGGCTGCCTCCCACAGTCTGAGAGCAGAGACACCACCACCGATGGAGCCAAGCACAGCCGGACAGCGAACAGGCTGCAGCAGGGGGGGGCGGTGGGTACCTGCAGGTCCCAGGACGGCCTGGAGAGGCGAGGCACTGCGGCCAGGCTCAGATACTCCCGCCGGTCAGGAGAGAGGTGGGGCCTGGGGGAGCCGTGGCGGCTCAGACCAGCCCCCTCCTGACCGTCTATGACATCATCAAACACCTCGTTCATCAACTCAGGCTGAAAAGGCCACAGAGGTCGTCACCACACTGTGACGCTGAGTAACTACAGGAGGCTTCAGCTGATCCACACATTCTTTGATATTTTTTTTCTCACAGATGCCTATTTATTATTTTCAAAATCATATTACACTAGCCTAGTTTCTGCTACTGGGTGAACCTGAAAACAAACCTTTAAAAACACCCTACAAATGGTCTTGAAAAACAACGCAAAGTCTACAAACCTGATCTTTCCAACTGTCTTTGAATATATTACAAGCTCCACCATTTCACACTGTTAAGAAATAAATGATAGGACCACAGACAGCTGTTCTTTTAAACTGTTTTTGGGTGATGTGTTCACTCACCTCTGGAGAAGGTTCCTTGGGGTGGAAATTGTTCCTGACACCATACTGGTCCTGTTGGGCAAAACAGGATGTTAGTAAAGTGAAGTTAACTCAGACTGAGGACACACACGGAGATACAGAGCAGGCAGACTGTAAATACAGAAAGGGGGGGGGGGGGGGGTTGAATATTAGTACACGAGCCACACATGGATGAATGGATGAAGACTGGACACCAGTATGACAGATGATGGCACTGGAGTACAAAAACCCACGATGAGCGCATTCCACACGTCACAGCACGTCACAGGCCCCCCGACACAGTGCAGGACAAACTGCTCCAGTCAGGAGGGGGCGGGGGGGCGAGATCAACCAATCATGCTTTTTGTGGTTTTGACCCGGGAGGGGAGTCCGGGCAGCACGGCCTACCTGGGGGGGCTCCAGCACTGCCAGTGAGCGAGGCACGGCGGCAAACGCCTTGTATGCCTGCTTCACGTTCATGGGGAACTCGTCGGGCGAGGTGGGGGAGGGGGCGCGAGGCTGCAGGGGGGAGGTTTGGGTGGGGTCGTGGAAGGTGGGGAAGGTTCATATGGTAAAAGAAGAGGAGGTGGGGAGGACGGACAGACAGAGACATGGAGGAGAGGGAAGACTATGAAAAAAACCAGCAGAGTTGACTGAGGAGGAGAAAAGGTGACAGCATGGCGGCTGGTTTCATGAGACAGAGGAGGGGAGTATGCCAGAGCAACACACACAGTAGGGCTTGGAAAATCCAGAGCCATGACAGACTTATTTGTATGAGAACCTTTATGAAACAAACAGGAAGATATGAGATGAAATCGTAGCTCCTTCATTATTTACCAATCCAGCTGTGCTGCTTGCCAAAGCTAGAAATAACATTTGAGAGAGCAGTTATTATGAGAAATGATTCAGGAGCTCAGAGGTGAGCTGGATGCTCTGATTCTCAGGTGTAGGAGGTCTGCACCTGCACAGACGTATCTATCCTGCACAGACTTATTCATTTAGGTCACCCTTTCTTTGGTTCTAGCTTCTTTGGAAACAAAATCATTCTGGTGCCACAGTTATCTGCATCTCTGCTATGAGTGTTTATGAGCGGTGTGCAGTCAGAGGCACAGAGCTGAGAGTGGAGAGAAAACAGCACTATGTGGTGGTGAGGGGCCTTACAGAGGTCTGGGAGTTGAAGGGGGAGGGGCCATGCTGGAAGGGGTTAGGACTGTGGCCCTCCGGTGTGCCAGGGGAGGGGCTCTGCCGCATGCGCCCCACTGGCTGGATGGCACCCGGTCGTGTCTGGAGAGAGAAAACAAATGATATTTAAGAGGGATAACTGAAGTCAATATAGACTACAATGAAACATTTGCATGTACAAATATTAAATAACATAAGTATAACACTTTCACTTAAACCAAACTTTAAGATGAATGACAAATCAAAATGAATGGAACCTATGCTGAATATGAAACAGAGCCTATTTTACCAATAGGGTTGTTTTAACATGGTGTTTTTCTTGTCTTTATCACTTCCTTCTTTTTATCTTTACAATCTCAAGTATTGTTTTATTTTAATACAGAGGATTACAGACTCCAAGGGTTCCTGCAGAAAGGTACTATTAGATGGAAAACATTTGTGTAGCATAAGAAATAAAAACTTCTATTTTTGCTTTTGGGTTAGGAGCTCTTTGAGATATATTGTAACAGTTTAAAATGAATAGAAAACTAAATACACAAACAAAGGGAACCTATAAACAAGTTGTATTAAATGAGATTATATTAATATATTTGTAAACTGGTGTGATCTATCTCTACAATAAACTTCAAACTCACTGAAGATGGAGAGTTCTCGATAGCAGTTGGAGTTGAAGTGTAATGAAGGTTTGCCTGTAAAAGAACATTTGAAAATATACTTGAGTCCTAACAGATAGTTACCAAATGTTCACTATTGGAAGATGCCAGGCCAAATATAGAGACTATCAGACAATGCAACACAGGCAGGGTTTACCTTAAGTATAGTATTTATTCTACTGTTAAAATAAAATAGTGTCTTGTTATTGTCCTATGAAGCTGGAGGAGGAGTCACATGCTTTTCCGGAAGGGCAGTAGCAGACTAGTTGTTTTTCTAACATCTGACGCATGTGCTAAAAAAAAAGGTTTAACAATCAAGGCCAGAGCAGAGAGGGCCACGAGACCCACTTACAAAGCGGGTCTCCCTGCCTCCACACAGGGAGCTGCTGGAGGAGTGGTGGCTGGGCTACGAGTGGAAGGAGAGGTCAATACGGTCAACTGGGAAATACTTCTTCTATAGGGGTAACAATGACTCATGGAAAAGGATCAAATAAAGGAAAAACATGGCAGGAGGATGGTGGAGGAGGCCTGGGTGTGCATGCTGCTCACCGGTTGGATGGTGGGGGAGTAGGGGGCGTCTCTGATTGGGCTCTCCGTCCTGTTGAAGTCAGAAGGAGGCGCCTGGAAAAACAAAGATCAAACAGACATAGACTTAGTAACTGCTCTCCCTCTCACTCAGACAAACAGAGTAGTAAAGAAATACAAGGTTCACTGGTTAGTCCTGTAGAGAAGTGCTCTTAAAGTCAAATCAATCATAAGCTGTTGCTGATAAACATGCACTTTTCTGTGCAGCTTGCAGATCAGTTCCTCTGTGACTTATGACCTCCCTGGCAGCTGCTGGGACACACATTCCAGCCGGTCCGGACTATGCGCCCAAATACCTGACGAGATGCCACCAGCTCAGGGCTCACAGAAAAACATGCACCAGTTCAGCTGGCACAGTAATCCTCCTCTGCAATGAATCAGTGAAGCTAACAATATAAACCAAAGTGTAGGGATTTATTATATCCATTGGGGCCAAAATCGTTTTAGATGTACATTTCCATTTCTCAGCACCCTAGAAGATGTAATCATGCAATAACTGATATTTTTGGCCCCGATAAATGGCATTTGATTTATTGTCATAATGGACGTATTGATTAAACTCCTTTTTTTCCAACAATAGCCCAAATCTAAAGGATTGTTATAATTCTACATCCCTCCTATCGTTTTTTGCTCACAAAATGGTACTTTGGACACATGCCAACCAAAAAACAGTGAAGGGTATTCCTTTGGGTTTAATTGACACGGCTTTTAAAAAGGTTCCACAAATGTTGTTGGAACGGTTTGATCCGTTTCAAGGGACACGAGTGAGCCAAACCACAAACAGTGCGCAGGAACACACCATGCTGCCTCCAAACCACACTCAGGCAGGCGGCTTGCCTTGCTGAACAGCCAGGGCTTCAGCTGGCCCTGCTTCCCGTAGCCCACCGGGGGTCCCGACAGGATCTGTTGTCCAGGAGGACGGCCCTTTCCTTTGCGATTGGCCACCAAGAAAGGGTTCTCTTTGAAGCAGATGGGCTGAGAGTCCACCAGGTTCTCCTCTTCTCCTTCTTCTTCTGGTGCAAATGTCGATGAGTTAATGGTTGTTGATGAGCCAGCACTGTCAGTAATGGAGGTCCCATTGGGGGAGAACTGAGATTCATGGAGATGTTCCATGTTCAGGCTGGAGAAGGACTCGGGGTCCGTGTGCTCCAGGGGATTTGTGGGGTTGCCTAAGCCGAAGCCCAGGGGCTCTAAAGGAGCTCCGTACTGGGCCTGCAGGGGAGCCTCCATGGGAGCAGTCAGACTGACAGAGGGAGAGAACTGGACAGGAGCAGAGAGGGAGGACAGTAAAGTCACACTGACAGAAGGATTGAAAGGAAAACTGCACTCACTCAGACAGAAACACACAAAGGTTATTACCGCTAGAAGGATTTAAAGAAAGAAAAAAAAAATCGGTATAAATATAGAAAAACAATATAGAGGAGAAACGGAAAAAGCGAGTTCCTACAAAAATATTAAATGATAAACCGTACAATTTGTATCCTATTTTCATTTAGGTTTGGCCATTTATCTTTTATGACATTGCTACAACAGGAGAAAACACTTAAATACTGATTTTCACCAATATTAAAATGTTATTTGAAGGTGAAACCTGTGTGATATAATGTCTGGTCCGCCCACGTTAATCTGTTCTTGAACAGGAAATGTGTGCGTCAGGACAGTAGGTCAAAGATAAAACAGGAAGTTAGCCTGTAAACTATAATGGATGTTAAAAACACACTGTGTTGTTATTGTACCGTCTGATCTGCTGATGTGATTTTTATTTAGTTTGACTTCTTTTCATAAAGTTTCCCGTTCATAGAATTCATGCAACTTGAGTACAACGTTTTTCTAACCGTTAACCAAACCTACTAAAACCAGACCCAGCTTGTAATAAAACTAGAGTACTCCTTTAAGAGCAGTTGGGAATAGTAAGGAAATGGTAATTAAAATAGATCTACTAAGGGATGCGTGTTGTACCCTAATGAATTAAGCCATTGTCAACCAAACTTTGAACAAATACAGCAAAACAAAAACAGATTTGGCAAAAAAAAATAGAACCTATAACAAACCACCAAATCAAATCTGGCATAAGAGAAGAAGAGTCATTCCCCTGCCTCATGACGTCCTTCTAAAAATAATAGACAAACAAGTCTGTAGCTACTTAAAGAGTTAGTCACCCCACTAAATCTTCCCTGAAGCCTAAATCATAAATTACTCGTCTTTCAGGACTTGTTAACTGCTAGTATCTGATCAGAGGGACAGTCAGGCTCCAGCACACCTTCAACTCCTACTGTACTCCTACTGTACTGAACGTAGAGGACGGGTGACGTCATTGAAGGGAAAAAGTATGAAATGTTTAACCTAACCCCTGTAAAGAAACCTGATACTTTAAGCACAACCAAAGAAGTTTCATGTTTTCATGAATGCCCAAATCGCTTCTAAAAAGCTTCAAGATAACTTTGATTTATCAGGTGTGACCTTGACATATCTGCTGACAATCAAAATAGCCGTGCTAAAAATACAACGCGCATTGTGAGCATTGTAATGTGGCTCCCTACATGCTGACTATAAGAGTCTGTGGTGTGATGAGGGTCAGTGGGATGGAATGTGAATGAGTGCCCTTTTGGCTCCGACTCAGACTGCGAGGGACAGCTGGGCTTCAGAGAGGAGAGGCTGCCATGCTGGGAACCAGGAACTGAACCCTTTAACTCCACACTGTACTACAGTATAGTGATAGCTGAGTACATGAACATCTATTCATTTTTTGTATTTAAATAGAAAACTGTTTTTACCAGTAGTTTTCATCTCATTTGCGCCTAGAAAAACTCATTGTTTTATTTGAATGATTCAATTTTCAAATGTCCTTACGGGGACAATAAAATATATCGTCATTTTCTAGATTCCTCTCTTTTTTTTGTATATCTATTTGAATGTTCATTTCTCTCGATGAACGTTGGTAGACTGTAAACATCAACAACAATGACGGAAATAAATCCAACATTAACATTCTTGTAAGGGATTATACAATATTGTTTTTTTGTTTAAATATAATTACAATATTGTCAATAAACCAAAAGTTCCTTTCAAAATGAATGTATATTACTACATTCAATTCAGTCTTGACTCTTTCATGTCTACAAAAGCCAGCTCTGCAGCACATCATGCCTGACCCCTCACTTCCTATAAAAGTCACGGTAAACTTAAAAGTAAAAACCCACTTTGGCTTTATTTAAATTCCTAAACCACTTCTCAACCAGAACCAACTCTTGTTAAGCCTTTGGTCACAACTTGCCGGCAGTAATGAAGGCTAACTGTGACACAGTGTGAGCAGTACCACGTGTGCTGGAGCAGCAAATCCTGCTCTAACGCGGCGAGCATTAACAGCTGCAGATGAGATGCTTGAAGTTCTCCTGGACAATCTTACAGGCCAGAGCTGATAAAGTCCTGATAGCGTTCTATTTAAAGTTATGTGACTTAAATGGCAATAAAGATACAACAATCCCTAACCCCTTAACCACTTGGGTGGACAACGAATAGTATCTAGGAGTAGGTAAGGAAAAAAGCATTCTTATCCTTTTGGTGATCAGGTTTCAAAGAATTCTAAGCATGTCTTAACCCGAGTCAGTCATACAATCTTCCATTCTCACCACACACAAACTGGATCACAAAAACACAGGAAGAAAGAAGACAGAAGGAAAGAATAAACCTAATAACAGCCAACTCTCGCCGGTTGAACATGTCTATACTCACGTTAGGATGGGAACAGGAGAGCGCAGTATGTCCACTCAAACTTACTTCTCTGATGGTTTGGGAACTCCAACTGAAACACTTGTCAGTCCCTCTGTGAGGATCCCCTTCCTCACTGTCTAGCACTCCACCCACCCAAGAGACTCCGTCCAATACAGAGCCAGACAGGGTTTAAAATATCACAGAGGATAGGCTGGCTGAGAGGGGGCAGCTGTCCCCTTCCCCCCCCCTCATGTCGCCACCTCTTACACGTCCTTACACTTTGGTCATACTTCCTTTCAGGTCCATCTCAATCTGTTGATACTTTCTTGTGTCTGGGCCTTGATTCCTGGTCTTCACATTGGTTTTTTTCAAACTTCTTAATCAGTCTTTGATCTTCATGACATTTCTTCAGTCCAGTTTGGTCCCATTTGCTCTTCTGCATTGATGTAGGACTCGTTTGCATCCTTCTGACGTGATAAGTTGTATGGTTTTGACCCCGGGGCACTGTCAGTAATGTTGACATGGGGTTTTGCACATTCCCATTCCCGCTCCTGGGGAGGTATCTAGGCGGCTCTAGGTCACTTCGTTACGTGGGTGTAAAAAACCCTGCAGGATTCTTCCGAGAAGTCTATTCTGAGCCTTGAAGGCCATTTCCAACATAGCTCAATAGGGTTCCTAACAGTTAGTGTAAAAACCTGTGTATCTTGTACCAATGTTTGGAGACATTACAACATGACGGGAGACTTACCCTGTTGAGCTTCTGCAGACTGGTGGTGGGCAGAGCCGCCAGGGTTTTGTAGTCAAGTTTCAAAGGTCCAGTGCCCATGTTCTGAAGAGTAATAAACAGTCATCATAAGTGAAAGAGGGGTTGGGCTGAAGTTTATTACACAAGTGACTATTTTAGACAATTGTTCAGCATTCTTTATAAAGAAATAATAGTTTATGACAACTCAAGATTTTATATTTGTAGGGTAAACAAAGTAGGAACGGATGGGCTTGGGGCAGATTTCTTTCCCGTACGCTTTTTCCCTGGTACATTTTGGATCAAATGTACAGTTACAGTACATAAGACGCAGGTATAACAGATCCACACTAGGTGGGTCAAATATTTAGTTAAAAAATAAACTTTTCTTCCCAATTTAGTCAGTCCCTAAAACTAATGTGCACTGTCGCTGCTATTGTATCTACATTAAATACAAAAAACATTTGTACCTATAGAGAGGACTTATTAGAGGGTAATATACATGGCCTTTATGTTAGTTTTATTGAATTCTCTCATCTAGCATCAACAACCAGCTGCCTTGTCAATCATAGTAACATCTACCAGCAAGTTAGAGTACTTTTTTAAGGACATAGAGATTATTTTCTTTCGGTTTTCAAAAAGAAATAACATGTTAAAATCCTGTGGCAGTAGTGCTGTGGTATTTCTGATCAGACTTCCAGGAAGGTTGTCTGCAGAGCTGCCGATGAGGAGTGTCTCACCTCAGTCTCCTCTTCTAGCAGGCGGTTTGCCTCCTCTCGCTCCAAGCGCATACGCTCCTTCACCAAGAAAGGAAGGGAAGGAGGAGGAGGAGGAGGAGGAGAGTAGAGCAGGGAAGAGACCCGACCAACCATACACAGTGATGCGATGAGAGGTGAAATGGAAGCGTTACAGAAGAGGAAAGAAGTGTTTCAGTGGAAAGATGGAGGAAAAACAACAGTGGAAAGGTGGTATGGAGATGGGATGATTTTTTTTTTATCAAATCAAACACACGAATAGTAAAGGAGAGGTGAGATAAAAACAGAAGGGAAAGAAAGGATAGAATCCGCACACATTAGAAAGTACTCTATTCATTAGCTACGGGAGCAGAAAAAAAGCATGCAAGGTGGGACATTGCAGGAATAGCTTTCAAACACATTACCACACAGGGTGCACAGGAAAAGCTTCATTCACCCGGTAACAGACAAACTCTAAAAGCTCCACCCTACAGTACTGCGCAGACTTCTGCATTTTCTATGGAGCAAGAATTGTCTTATCTTACCTTGCTGCATCGCTATCTATCTGCTGATCTGATACAATTTTCCCTTTCCCAAAACAGTCATATGTTTTCAAATTCACTTACCACTTTCTCCATCTCTTCTCGCTCCCACTGTGATGTCTCTCTCACCATCTCAGACTCCTGGGGGACAGCAACATTTCAGATCTTTACAATTGTAATAAGGGTGTATTTTTTTTGATTAAATTATATAAATGATTTCTGACTGTGTGTGCTCTACAAAAAATGATCAAGTGCGCAGAGGAACAGAAAGAAGCATTCTATAAACCAACAAGCCCCTACATTCCTTTGGTACGGGCAGACTACCAAAAGCTCATCTGAACAAAATAAAACAACTGTGTTGGCGCTTTCTGGGAGCTGCGGTGAAAAGATAGGTATGTGCCGTGTGCGTGGTTGGGGAGTGAGTCAAAGTCCATGGGTGTTAAAAAGTCCACCTGCTAACACCAAACTGCTGTGGAAGCATAGTGTTGGTGGGACAGAACTGCTGTTCGAAACAGCTGATTCACGTGTTGACTTCCTGGTATGTGGAGGTACTGTGTTTCCCGACACTGTTTAATTCCCATATACTGGGATTTTGGGCTTTGTCTGACCTTAACTGCACAGATAATGTTAAATTAGAGATTAAAAGGGGCCCTATTATTATTTTCAGGTTGATATTTCTATGTGTGCTTCTACTGTGACATGTTTACATGCATAAACGTTCAAAAAGGTCTTTATTTTTCTCATATTAAGTGTGCTACAGCATCTCTTTTCACCCTCTGTCTAAAATGAGACCCCAGTCTGCTCTGATTGGTTAGTTGTCCAGCTCTGTTGTGATTGGTCAACCACTTAGAGTTGTTTTGCCTCTTAGCCTATAATGTACAATGGCTTGGAGCGCTAGCCAATTAAAGTGCGATTGTACATAATGATGTCACCATGTTATGGAAGAAAATAAAGGATTTCAATGGCAGGGGGGAACTTTGGAATTTTAGCCTTTGCAGACCATTTACATGCACAAAAACCTACATAACACACCCCAAAAGCATAATAGGGCACATTTAAGATATATAATCAGTGATGATATATTATCAGTATATAATCTATGCAGTACCTTCTGCATGATCTCCATCTCCTCCGGGCTCAGGTCTCGGTCTATAGATGAGATGCTCTCCATGCTGTTCTTACGGACGATGCCGGTGGCAAATGGGTTGGCAATGATGCCGGGAGACGCCTGGATATAGACACAAACAAGATGGTTGTTTAAAGTTTCTTTCCAAAATTAAAACAGATTGGGTAATTTTAGGAAAAAGTACAAATGATCAACATTGCTGGCAATTTGTCTAACTGCTCATGGTGTCTCACCTCCACGCCCGTCATTTTTTGTGGGTCGAATCCGTCACACATCAGCATGACCAGAGAGTCTCCCACAGCCCGGAGCACTCGCACCGCCTCTGTGTGCGTCATCCCCAGCAGGCTGTGGTTGTTCACCTCCAGGATACGCATCCCAACCTTCAGTCTGCTGTCTCTTGCTGCAGCACCGCTCGAACTCACCTGTTTAATATCAACCAAAGGAGAAGTTAGTCAAAACTACATTTGTCATTTAATGTTATCTTAAACACAAATCTAAAAACGTCATCCTTAATAATAACGTTGTCATAAAAGCTAATACCACTTTTAAATGAGTGCCAATTCTCCCAGCATTGATTGAGCGCAACTTATTGGGATTTTACTTTTAATAAAGTGGACTATTTTACAAATCTGTTGCTATCCAACCAATATGGCTTGTGCAGCTAACGCTTAAAACAAAACACTCTTTGGGATTCCTTCAGAAATGGTAAAGAAAAAGTATTTTATAATATTATATTAATATAATAATGTCATTTACATACCTTAGAGATGAAGATGCCTTCATCTGTAGGGTCAAAGGGGTTTCCTGCGTGACCCTTGGCCCCTCCACGAATACTGATGCCGAGCTTCTCCCCTGGCTGCTTATTGATTACAATTTCCTGCAATGATACAGACACAGCTCATCAGGCAAGGTGGTGCAAGCATTTTCCAATATTATTAAGTCTATATTAGTACATGTATATTCAGTTGTTTCGGCGGACTCACCTGCATCCCAGGCGGGGAAGGGTCCCTCCGCACCAGCATACGGATCTCCTGCTTATTGGCCAGCAGCGCACGCACAGCTTCCTGGTGTGTGGCGTGACGCAGATCGATGGCGTTCACTTCCAAAATTCGGTCCCCGACACGCAGTCCACTTTCACACGCTAGGCCGTTAGGAATCACCTGATAGGATAGATGGAAGGTGAGACACAAAATGTATTTAAGGAGATGCAAACAACTTGGAAAAACAACAACTCGCAACTCTTTCAAAGTCCTACCTTTGAGATGAACACCCCGGGTTCATTGATGCCAAACGGGTGACTGGCATGATCACTGCCTCCCACAATGCTCAGGCCTAGTGGCCCGCCTGACTTTAACAGGATCACTTCCTGTTAGGGTGAGAGGTAAAAGACTTGTTTTAGCAAGGCTTTTGAGACTATTAAAGAAATCAAGACCAGGTGACAATCACTTCTACATCTAATACAAACAAACCAATCTACTGCCGGAGCTGCAACAACTTGTCCATTGATCGATCCCAAACTAAAATAATCACCAACTATTTTGATAATCGCTTAATGGTCATTCTTTTAAACCAAAAATGGCAAAACAAGTTTTTTTCCGCTTCTCAGATAAGAGGATTTTGTTGTTTTCTCTGTTTAATATTATATTAAACTGAATATCTTTAGTCATCAGCATGGACTTTTCCCAACAATTTTCAGATAATTTCAAAAATGATGAATCGATTCATCCAGAAAAGAATCGGCAGAGTAAAGAAATAAAGTTGCAGCCCTACCTACTCCAAACCCTTATATGTCATATCTCTTTACAGGCCAAAGCCACTATTAGGTAAAGAGTAACATATTGGCATTATTGACAACTGGAAAAGCTACACTCTATAAAAGCAAACCATTATTCATTATTAGACCAAGCCTTCATACCATGCACCATCTTCTCTGGAACTGGACAGCATTGAGGATATTGCAGGGGCCAGATAAACAAACATTAATGCTGAATGCCTGCAGGAGCTTTCTACAGCTTAGTCTAATGCATTAAAATATATTAAACACACTGAAGTCGCCCCTAGAGGTCTCACCTCGATGGGATACTCGTCCTCCATGCGGCTCAGGTTGTTCCCATGCATGGTGAGGCCGTCCTCCTCCTGGTCCGGTGAGTCTGAGGGTTCTGGGGGTGGAGGGGAGTGGGCTCGTGCCCGGGATTGACCTGGAGAGCCCCCTGGTGCATTCAGGTCTCGCTCCACCACAAGGGCAATGGTGGGGGAGGTGCCGGTAAGGAGTGCTACTGCCTGGTCATGCCTGGCCTCTGTCATGTCTACACCATTGATCTGCATCGACAGTAAAACCAACCAGGAGGGTGTCAGCCCACCAGGACGCTCCCAATTTAAACAGGCCACAGGGGCCATTGGACGATGAACATTAAGAAAGAAAGACATGCTGAAAATGGCATGCAGCCATCAGTCTTCTCTCATCTCTATCAAAGTGTTTATTCAACATCTAAAAAATTATGAACTGTTAATTGCAGTTTGTGAGTGCACCAAAGTGAGTACTGTTAGATAGAAAAAGAAGCCAACACCTGTACAGAGCAACAGGAAGAGGCAGAGAAAAGGAGTGAGAGGGGGGAACAGCGGGCTGCTGCTGGCAATTTAAGCTGGCAGAGCTTCCCTGATGCAGAAATGCTACTAGCTAAAAAGCTATTATCTCCCCAAAAAGTCATAGAAATGTAATATAATCAGTTAAAATAATTTTCCATCCCTTTTTTGCTTTTCTTACTTAAAACACAAGTCGAAATGTTTCCAAAAAGTTTGATCTTAAGTCAACAAAAGCAAGAAAGGAAATCCGTAGTATAATTAAATGACTAGTTTTAGTTTTAGATTAGGGGGAAGCTTTTAGGCATGCAAATCTTAAAACTATTCTTTGGTCCAAAGTGACACGCAGAGGTCAGCACTGACCCGACAGTACCAGCTCTTACCATCGGCTGATATGCTGCTACATACAGGCTCCGCCAACTCCAACCCAACACCATACCCACCACCAAGCAGACAAGGATGTGCACGTTATACATTAGTGACCATGCAGATGTGAGAAAGAGAGAAAAGAGGCAGCCTACAAATAGATTGAAATATAAAGAGCTGAGAAACTGCCAGAGGGAAGAAGAGAGTTAACCCGGGAAGAGAGCAAAGAGGATAATTCTTTTCTGAGATTCTCGGAGCAGAATGTGCATTAAAGAAACAGTAATGAGCAGGAGCAGTCTAACATTTGCCACACTTGGAAAAGGAACCGCTAAACAAAATCTTCTCAGTAGTAATGTGGGTGTGACAGGACAAAAACATGCAATAGAGCATTGAGAGGTCATGCGGTAAGCCCTTAGTAGTGACAATTCTGCATAACTTCAACCAAAAGAGATCCATTATTTCTATCTAAAGAGAGACCTGGGTCAGAATTAGTAGAATGAGAGTGAGTTAATTCTGTGCATGTGGTAATACACGTAAGTCCGACTATCATTAATATGGCAAGACATAGTTTGAGGGATGAGAGCATTGTTGCAGGCACATTAAAAATGTAAATTATAAAACACCTCGCATTGATGACATACATGATTTGTTTCTTTGACATTATGCAAGATTGGATAAAAACTGAGAAAAATGACCGAGATTAACAAAGAGAACATCATCAGCCAATGCTCTTGATTAACATTAATCTTGTTCATTTATTAAAATACCATGTATTTAATTTCAAGCTATTCTTAAATCCCTACTGGAGACAAAGAAATAATCCCTTTCTCACATCTGAAAACATTGTAGCGCTAATGCTAATTTGATAATGCCCAGAGGGAGGTGTGGGGGCGATGAGTAGTACTCACGGAGATCACTCTGTCGCCGACACGCAGTGTGCTGTCTCTGTTTGCTGCTCCCCCTTCTGCGATCCGAGAGATATAGATTGCCTGAAACATTGTCAAATGTTAACATGTACATTTGCTCATATATTACTCAAATGGATGTGCCATTTCTGCAAACGTTTTTTTCAAGAGACATTGTGAATCTTCTGCATCTTTTTCCTAATTATAAAAAAAACAGGCATGTGTGTCAGGGACAGGCTGGTGGTAAGGGGGTCTGGTGCAACAGGCTGCAACGCTGCGATGACTCAGTGTGCTAACTGTGAGCTGTCTGAGTTACCGGTTAGTCACTGTGTGATATCACGATTGATCTGAGGCCAACATCGAACTTTCTATACAAAGTGTGCCAGTGGTAATTGATAAAGGGATTCTAAGATAGTAGCAGCCCACAATGGCACAAATCAAACCCATATATACATGACAACTGATTAACAGCAGCCTCTGATCACTAAGACACAACAGGACTCTACAACACAGGCAGCACAAATCACGACCTCTGACATATTGGCCGCTTTCTCAGACAAAGTTGTTTAGCAAATAAAAACATACCTGAATCTAAACAGAATGTACAAACACATGCAGGAGCAAAGTCTACAGCACCTCCTCCTCAGATTAACCAACAGCCAACAACAAAGTCACTGCATCCATTTCAAAAAGCTTTTGAAAGTGAGGCAAGACTTACAGACCTGCCTAAACGTTTATGAGTCTTTTCCTCTTTCCGGGCTCGCTGAGCTGCATGAGTAGCAATGCCGTTCTGCTCTGGCCCAAATATACACCTCAGCCCGTCCAGTTAGAGTGGACTATCAGGTGTCAGGGCGGGCTATTCATATCTCCGTCTCCCTGGTGATGTCTGTAAACGGTGCAGCTAGAATAGACAGATCCCTGAGACTGTTACTGTAAACACTTAGTGACCTTACTTCCCAAAGTATTATTAGCGTTTGTATGACAGATTAGCTTTAGATCATTTCTGTATCATTTTTGCCAGTGCCTTTTCAATGTATGTTAAAGGGTTGGGATGATTCATTAAGGGCTGCAACTAACCTTTATGTACATAACCAAATAATCTATCACACATCATGCATGAACAAGAAATCAAGTTTGACAAATTGGAACCTGCAAATATTTTAGGCTATAAAATACAATTTTAGAAGATGTTCTACACATTCTTTATAAAACTTTACGTCTAGGTTTAGTCAGAGTGTGGTTGGGGTGTGTTGGCATGTCTCACTGTGTCTGCTGTGCGGTAGGGGGTGGAGCCTTTGCCCCCTGCGATGCTGAAGCCCAGCCCCTTGTCGTTTCGCATCAGGCAGGTGGAGAGCCGCTCCTGTGGCCCCTTGGGAGCCGTCTCTATGTTGAAGGCGATGCCACTGCTCCGTCTCTCGCGGGGGAAATAGTCGTCTTCCGGCCTCAGTGGCGTGGTGGTGATGGCGTTCTCCGGCTCCACCATATGCTCCCGCAGCACCGACATGGAAACTGAAGCACCAGAGCTCCGAAGAGCTTCAACCGCCGTGTGATGTTCTGCTTCGTGGAGGTCCACTCCATTCACCTGCGACGAGCAGAGGGAGTGACTGACTGGTAATGCTGTTCAATTAAAAAGGTTACCATAAAACAGAGGAAAGTGCTGCGTTAACAGAACGGTTTTTACCTCTAGGAGTTTGTCCCCCACTTTTACCCCTGCTCTTGCGGCAGGGCCATCTTCAGATACTCTGGAGATGAAAATTCCCTAAAAACAAAAACAGAAGATAATTTATTTGTATAATCTATGGCTTCTTTTTTTTTTAAACTACTCAAGACTCCAGACACACATCTTACCTCATCATCTCCCTTGTAAGGTGTAGATCCTTTCCCTCCAGCAATGCTGATACCGAGGCCGCCAGTCTGTCGCATGATGATCAGCGAGTGCTGCAAGTTGAGGAGGGGGGAGTCAGCACAACTACTAATGAAACCCTCTGAACACCACTCAGCTCAGGACGGATTGAGAGGGAGGAGAGCCCACCATTTTGTTATTTTACAACAAAAAAGAGTTTATCTTAAACTGTGATATAAATGATGGGTGACCTCCCTCTTTCTGCCAGAGGGTGGTGTCAGTGTAGTCACAGCAGCATCCTCTCACTCATGCTCATAGATGGATGGAGAGACACTTTGACTTGTCTTGAGCCTAAAGTCAGTTTTAAGTGGAAGTTGGACTTTTGTGCCTTTTAATTGAGCTTTAAATTACCTTTTTAGTTAGTATGCTTGCCTTTGTATGTGTACTTAAAACAGCATGGTCAAAAATAATTTGTTTTCAACCATTATCCACTTAACTGACAGTTGACTTCAGACATAAAGCGAACACACTTGTCTAAAGACCTCTTCAATTTAACTCACAGAGGCTTGACCCTTACTAAAAGCATACAATGTGTCTTGTGTATGTACGGGAGGAGGGACTTTAAACACCAGGTAAGGCGTAACACTGTGTATATACTGTGTACTTGCAAGCCATGCAAAAAGGGGAGGAATTGCAAACAAATGAGGGACAGGTGGAAGGAAAAAGGAGAAATAAAAAGGTGAAGGGAGTATGTGGTGTCCTGGCTGTGAAGACGGTTGTACACTTGTAGTGTGGGTACCCGTGCATTTTTTGTAATGAGATGACAAACATTTCTTAAGCAAACAAATCGGACATAAATACAATCGTCTAACAAAAACTGGCAGAGACAATTTTCATAAAATACTAAATACCACTTTAAGTTTCAGTTTTCTTCTCCATCAACGAGTATTCATATAAAACACTATAAACAAAATCATGCTAAAAAAAGAAACATATTGTGTACAAAGATTACCAATGAAGTTTTGGATTTTTCTACAATTGAAAACTTTAATTGAACCCCAAAATCATTTTCAAATACTCTCTTTTCTGAAGTGTTTTTTTATCCATCTTGATTGTTTTGGTGTGATGTTTTTTTTGGTGCTTTAAACGCCTTACTTGTAAGCTAATACAGCTGACATCAGAAACACTAGGCAAGGCAACACACACCAAAACAAATAAATAGTAGTAGCAAGTGATAGAAAAACATTGTTTGATTTTGGGGTTAACTGTCCCTTTAAGTCATGACAGCATAACATCTATACAGGTTAACCATTTTAAAATTAGACTGCTGGGAAGTGATCGTCATCCCTCTTCATCAGTCTTGAGATCCTCTTCTGGTCGTTGATGAGTAACCTACTTTGTACCAAACAGAAGCACCTGGAGGAAGCTGGTGAAGCAGCCCATTCATTCCAGGGCAACACAGCGTGGACAGGGGAGGAAAGGGAGCAAAGCAGCAGGAGCAGGAGAAAGGTGGAGGAGCAGAGATGTAGCGTGGCAGAACCTGGTGCTGGACTCAGATGCATTCTTCTGTGTGAACTGTCAAAGTTTGAGATATTTTGAGTATTCCCAGCACTTAAGGAAAAGTTGATGAATGACAAAATGCCTAAAATGTATAAACATGAATGTAGAACTTAAGGAAGATGTCCCAGCTGTGGGCATCCAGGGGATTAATAATGATTGGAAAAACAGGGGTTCCAACATGTCGACTTTGTCAAAGGTGGTTGATTCTACATGATATGCAATGAAGTGGATATTACCAACAGTCATGTCATCACATATTCTGCTGATACTCAGAGTTCTCTACTTGATATTTACTTAGCATTGTTTATTCTGTCAATGTCCTTGCAAAGCCCAAAGATTAAACATGATCATTCTGTTTAACTAACAGCCTTTCCCGGAGGCCCCAGTATGCAGGGCTTTAAGGTTAACCCTTTCCTGTACGAACTTAAGACAAATGGAGCCTACGAATGGAGCCGAATAACTACTAGCTTTAATAAAATGTTACTGTTAGTACCCATTTAACTTTATTATTTATTCATTTTGTCATGTGACTCCTAAAAGGATACACCACACTTCCTACAGATGCACAAATTATGTTCCAAAGGCAAAATATATAAAAAGGTGATTATATTAATTATAAAATAACACCTCTTCTGGCCTTTCATGGTAGATCTTACATTTAGTCTTTTGGTCTTCAGAGATGCAACTAAAGGTCTGAGGCTTCACTCAAACTTTTTAAATACAGAAGCATATTTTACAATAGTCACATAATGAGTCCTAATTGAAAGAGATATAGTTGGTCATTAATATAAATAAAAGAGATCGAAGTGCATGCTCAAATAGTATTAACTGAAGCTGATTGGATACATGGATAGAACTGAACAATGTGTTAATGTCTGGAAATATAGTGTAATCTCCCAGGATGCACTGAAACACAGCAATGTGAATCCTCATTGCAAGTTTACTGTCATGACTACTACTCTCCTGCATCCAGGTTCTGCCACACATCTCATGAATGAGTTGTGGTTAGAGGGTCCCTAGTGATTGGCTTGGGTTAACCCTTTGGATTCTGTGGGGACTTTCTCCACCTCAGGATACAGGTGGGTGCATGAGTGGGTGAGTGAGGGACACAGAGAAACAGAGTGGACGGGAAAGAGTATGTACAGACCTCTTCCTCCTCAATTCGAGCAGGTTCAATCAGCAGATTATTGACTTGATCAAATTTCACCCCCTGTTAGGACAGGAACCAGCGAGAGGCATGCGGATTAGTCAGGCCAAAATAAAAATATGCTCACACACACATACTAAAAAAAATTAAATTAAAATCCCTTTCTCACACTCTCCATAAACTTCACCAAACACACCCAACACTCCACTGTCTGCAGGTTGTAGAACCTTCAATCCACTGGGATGGAACCCCTTAGAGCAGAAGCAATGTCACATTCACCCCCCAGCCACCAGAAGCAAATACAGGCAGAGATGGAAAGACAAGACCAAGGAGCTGAGCTACAGGGCAGAGAGAGCGGACAGGAGAAAGCAAAAGCTCCCATACCAGAATAAGCTCAGCCTCCACACCACAGAAAGCAAATTCCTCCAGGGGCAAGCTTTGATTTAGACAAAAAGCCTACTTTGTACAAACAAAAGCTTACAGTTACAGTACATTTACAGCTTACAAATAACCCAAGATATCTACAAGCTGACTTTACAAAAGTAATTCATAGAAAAATATATATTTGATTAAATGAATTTGATTCAGAAGAATGATGAAGAATCGTACTGTCTATAACAATTCAAACATCCCATAAATGATTATTACCATATTACACAAACAAGGATCGTTGGATCTCACATTCCAGCTCTGCCAATACATGTTCTGGTTGGTCTGAGGTCAGCCACACAAACAGACCCACATCCACAAACACACACACAAAACAGATTTGGTAAGATGATGTTTGATCACAGCGCTTAAAAGGATTTCTACAATCAGCATGATAAATCAAAACATTTTTCATTAAGACCCAAAATAGTGTTGATCGATAAGGAGATTAAGTTTCATAAGCGGCACCGACGCAGACTTCATTCATACTTACAAACACACACACGCACACTGTTATAAGAGCAGAGTTTGAAATGTCATTATTGAATTAAAACAGGAGATGGCTGATAATTGACTGAGAAGTTCAGTTCTAGACTGGGCCAGTGTTAGGGAAGAAAAGCCTGCAGAGGCTTGTGTGGAAGGAATGTTATCATTACAATAAAAGTCTATCTGTTATCTTAATTCTGCAAAAACAAAGCTATTTCATGTGAAAGCACAGAGTGAATTTCTCAAATGTGTCCCTAAGTATGAGACTATACAATAATGTGTCGTTTTGGTTGTTTATGTGTCAAAAAAGTCCTAAATGATGTGAGGTATTGGAAGGCATTATCAGCAATGACCTCTGGGTGTTTTGTAGGCGTTTGGTGAAGGACGGAAAGTATAGTTCGGAGACTGTTGCAGAGTTTGTGGTTAAACCACAAACTCCACTCCTGAGAAACACATTACCCTTGATTTACAGCATAGGGTAGTCGCTTCATTTACACAATGGCCCTGCATGCAATGCCACATCCTTAATAAATACTGGCAGCCCACTCCAAACTGAATGCAACTTGCAAGGTGGTAAGGGCACTCTATGCATACAGTATTAAGTGTGTGCATAGATGCAATGAGCAAGCAAAACATATATTCAATTTAAATACATGAATAGAAATGACTGCCTGTCCTGCACTATTCCTTATCCATAGACTAGATTTTTACAAGTGTGCATAAATGTTTGTCGGGAAATAAAAAAATGTGCTATCATATTCTTCCCACCTATTCTCCATATTCCTGAAATACACCCTAAGAGTGGTGGGATCGCCCCTTTACCTTTACTAGACTGGAGTTGACCTGGAGCCGACTGTCTTCCAGCGCCTCCATCCTGGGATGGTGCTGAGGGGTGCACATACCCTGCTCTTCCTCCTCCTCCTCCTCCTCCTTCTCTTCCTCCTCCTCCTCCTCCTCCTCCTCCACTTCCTCTTCCTCTGCAGGCTTTGTGGGAGAGTTCATGCTCTCGGGGTTGAAGCCCTGCAGCAGGGCAGCCACAGTCTCAGGTTTGGGCAGCTTGGTGATCTTGAAGTGCTTCTTGTAGTGCGGCGTGTCCTTTCTGATCAGACGCTGCTTCTCTGCGGGAAACACAGGCCTCTCTTCCTCGTCACTCCTCGCGCCATCTTCCCTGTCCTCCTCGTCATCCAAACCCCGGATGATGGGCTCTTCTGCAAAGTGCACAGTGGGCTGGAGAAAAGAGAAGATTGAGATTGAATTTGTTTAGAAGATGACATGTAACTAAATGTTGTATCATTTTGTAAATATTCACCTCAATGTACTCCACTTCCATCTCGTCCAGCTCGTCATCATACTGAGGGGCGTGGCCATCTACAAGGTCCTCCCTCTGCGACGTCACATTGTGCCTCTCCTCATGGGAGGTGGCCGACAGCGTGCTATTGGACACCTGAGAGTCATGGCTCTGATTGGAGAGGTCACTGAGCCGTTTCTCCTAAATCAAAAAGTTTGATTCATCAGAATATTGTACAAAAGTCATGATGCCTTTTGTCTACTTCCTACAGCAGCAGGCAATTTGTCACAAAATAAGATTAGGGCAAGAAAATAACAAATCTCTAAATAATAACTGTCAGAATAGACACAATAATCAATATACAGTATGTGGTATGTACCTGTGAATCAGGAGACTCTTCATCCCTGGATGTGTAAGCTTCATTCCTCCTCTCCTCAATCACCTTCTTCATCACCTTCAGCTCACTGGGGTGCGGTGTAGCTCTTCGCTGAAGACCCTGAAACAAAGTTGGTAACAAAAACTTTAGTCAATCATAATGTTAAACAAGTCAAGGAAAATGTCAGATGACTTTGTGACAGTAAAAATATATTAATTTGGACTTTATGTCACACTTGAAGCATTATAGTTTTCAATCAAGAACTCAATCAAATGCCAACAGAGATGTAGTATTAAGGCTGATAACTAGAAAACCAAAACATGTAAATAATCTGAGCAAAATAGCATATATAGAAGATATAAAGTGACACTGTAGTGCTGTGTTTCCTCACTCTGCGCTCTGCAGCAGCCTCATCGTCCTCCTCCTGAGCCTTGGTCTCTTCCTGGAACTGAATGACTGACACTCTGTTCAGGTTGCTGTCCGTCCAGCTGTCGTCCACACTGTTCTGTAGCAAGTTCTCTGTGGAACAAAAAAGTGTCAAATTGAGTTTATAGCTGTAGATCAAAGAATCTCTTCCTGAATATGAGTCCCACGACCCATATGTGTTTTAAGCTATTTCTGGTGAGCTTATTCAATCAAATCTATACACAATAACAAATAGCTTCAAATATAAGGCCGGGAACACAATTAAGTCATTAAGGCCTTAGTACAAATGTAGTGATCTTAGTATTCAAAATAGGGATCAATTTAAGGGATATACAAAAGCAAGCAAAAAAATCATCATTAAATAAAAGTTATGATAAACAATTGATTTAAACTTTGATGCCGTTTGATAAGCCACATAGAAGATTGGAGAAGCCCTTTAAATGACTGACAAAGACTTTCTCTATTTGCTGTACGTCTAATAAAATACAATGACGATCCTATAAAAACGTCACATTGTGTTTACTGAGCGCTGCTCACCGAGGCTGGGGGAAGGCTGCTGAGGCAGTAGATAGCAGGTCAGCACCTTCTCTCCTGTCTGCTCATCATCCTCTGTCTGGAACTTGAGCATGGGCTGTGACTGGTTCTCTGCGAGCCACATGGCCTTCAGGTTGAGGTTTGTCAGGGCAAAAGGCAGGTTTTGTAATCTGGACAAAAGAAGAGGTAAGGGATGGTACAGGTTAAATGACATGGTCTTAGATATTTGAAGGGCCATCGCAAAACTCAAACCTTGGTATTTAGAGTTTATGCAACGTTATAATTAATGTGTGTATACCTCAATGCTCACAGAGAAAAATGATTGCAGGGATAACCTCCATAACTCTGCAGACACCTTGCTCCCTCTATAACTTTTCGGAAATGGGCCACGACTCTTTGACAATGATGCATTTGCTTGAAGTTTTCTAATAGATTATTTTTCCATAATTTAGCAGCAGAGCTTTTAAACATCCCTACAAGGTTATACTGATCACATTTAACAAGGGCACAACTGCAGGATGCTGGTAATCCTGAAAGTCCATTTTGGCAAAGGCATTCCAATTAAATATTTGACCTTGGCATGTATAGCTTCCGTGAATCAGTTACAGTTCAGGGTGTTAAGAGAGGTTTACCTATTTCCGGCCACATCCAGCACATGCAGCTCAGTGGCATCTGCGAGCTCAGCGGGCAGTTTGCCCAGGCGATTGTCTCTGAGAGAGAGGACGTTGAGACAGGCACAGCCGCCCAGCTCTTTGGGCACGGTGCCCAAATGGTTGCGGTCTACATTCAGGTTGGTCAGCTTCTTCAGCTTGCCCAGCGAGCGAGGAAGTGACTTTGAGGGAGGGAAAAGGAAGTCATTAATATTCAGTGAAAATGATAAATGAGGCTTAATAGCTGTTAATTAGACTAAGGTATAAGGCATTTATACATCCTAACTGGGTCAGTGTGAGGCTGTTTGTGTGGTTTGTATCTCCTTACCTCTAAAAGGTTCTCTGTTAAGACGAGTTCTGTGAGGTTTTCACACTCTCCTATTGAATCAGTCAGTTGGGTCAGTCTGTTTTGGTCCACTTTGAAGATAGAAAGCTGTTTCAGGCATCCTGGACAAAAACACAATAGCAGTTAACAAACAAGATGGCATTTACACTGACATATTTTAAATGGATCCATGCGCCGAATGAAATTCAATTGAAAACAGTATAGCTTGAGTCACTCTTCACTAGCATTATTCTCCCAGTAGAGGGCAGTGTTGTTATTTAACAGAGCACAGTCTCCATGCACAGTTGGCCTGCTTTAAGGAATATTCAAACTACTGCCTAATTAGATAGCTAACATCAGAAATCCATGGGATTCTTTTATGTCAACTAATATTGACCTAATTTCTATATTGCTGTTTGAGTAACAGTTAAAATATTATAATACAGTATTTGCACAGATGACATATTCATAGGGAGCAATGATAGAGATGGTAACTGGGATGGACCTCAACGCGACAACATCTACAAAGGCTTTCTTAATGTTAGCATAGTTATTCTACCGCATAACTATGCTAACATGTAAATCAGCAGTAATTTGTTACTCAAACTGGACTTCTGGGACTGGTACCATAGATAAAACACTTCCTCCACCTAGACAATATTTTTCTTTTCCCCCCCATATGTTTTCTCACCTATGCTGTCTGGGACGTCTTCCAGCTGGTTCTGTGTGAGCAGCAGGTCAGTGAGCGCCAGGAGGCCGTTCAGCTCTGAGGGAAGCTCCTCCAGACGATTCTCTGACACATCCAGACACACCAGTCTCCGGAGGTTCCCCAGCTCCTGCACAGACACAAAATAAATACCACTTACTGTACAGAGAGCCACGGACGCCCAACACAACCATTACCTTCACAGCAAAAACAAAGGGAAGAAATCTGGGGCGATAATTCTGCATATGTGGAATTTTGTTTTGTTTATAAAAGAAAGATAAAGGAGATTAATTATAGTTCCTACACATTTCTATGAAAGTGTACTTACTGGTGGTAATGAGGACAACTGGTTACGGTCCAGCCAGAGCTCCCTAAGATTAGGGAGAGCACCGAGGGTGTCCGGCTAGGAGATGAGACATAGCAGAGAGGAGGAGGAGGGAGAACATTGGGGCAGTTTATTATATTTGGTAGTGTTTGAGGTGCAAAGGCAGGGGCTGCATGATTTAATAAACGCATCTGAAAACTGTTTCGCTGGTTAAGGCCACCGCAAACAGAAATCCTGTGCCCTAAATACACATATAATTTATAGATACATTTCATGGTTGAAGTTCAAGGTCAATTACAGTAAAACATTTAATTTCTTTAAAGTCCTAGGATCAGTCTGCTAAATTCTTGAGTATTCTCAAATTGAAGTAGTGCAGTGGCTTATGGCAGGCAGCCTTTCATCATAGTTGTCGAGTGTTTGCTCAGCCTCCGCCCTTGTCGGGTCATGAGGAATTGTTTACCATCCCATGAGACATGGTGGGCGTTTCCCAGGCTTAGAGCAGGGCTCACTATGAGGTATATGCATGCAGGGCCTCAGGTCTAACAGACCGGCTCTGCTGCGTTTGGTGAAGTAATCATGTGGTTTGGATTGTAATTATTGTGGTGGGAGTCTGAGAGTGTGCTGCACTGGCAACATAAAATACATTTTTAGGCACAACTGCGGGTGCTGTTAGAGCACTGCGAAGTAGAACTAAGATAAAAAAGGGGAAGACGAGTTATCTACTTACCAAAACTTCCAGTTCATTGCTGCCCAGGTCCAGCTGTTCCAGTTTAACCAGGAAGGAGAGGGACCTGAATACACACAATATAGCATTAGGTCACACTAATATGAGGCCTGAAAGAACAAAGAGCAGAGCTTTGCTTACTATAACGATATATATATATATATACATACATACATACATATATATACATAGATATATATACATATATATACATACATATATATACATAGATATATATACATAGATATATATATACACATACATATATATATATATACACATACATACATACATATAGACATACCACACATTCAAACGTAATGACATATGCAAAGAATGTGTTTAAACCTACGTAGCTACAGGTAACCTGTCGTTTCTGTCATGTTCTCACACACTACAATAGATGTTTTCTCAGGCTACTTGATAGATGTTTTCTCAGGCTACTTGATATGTACAGTAGGGGAGTGAGGTTCTAACTAAAAACTAAACAAGTAAAAGTAATAAAGGAGAATCAGTTTTGACAATTCTTAATGTATTTGAGGTTGTCTTGTTCTGTCAACAGGCACTTATTGTTCTTGATGGAGATGGTGGGAAATTAGATAAGATGTTAACCCTGCATGTGTACTCTACGGAAGGGGGAGATGAGGGAGATGAGGGAGATGACACTTACGTAGGCAGCGACTTCAGCTGGTTGTCCCTGAGCTCCAACGTCACCAGGTTGGCCAAGCTGTAAAAAGAGGAGTAGCAGTGAAAAGGAGGCAAGAGAAAGAGGGGTAGGGGTAGGAGATGGCAGGTGGTCAGAGGGGAGGATGGGGGAGTGAGAGAGAGGGGAGAGGAGAGGCAGGTTGGTTAGTCAGATGGCAGGTCTGTTGGAGCGGGCTGCCTGGTATGGTGAGGGTCTCCTCCATCTGGCTGAGCACAGCAGTGGCCCAGAGCCCAGAGAGGCCCACTGGGCAACAGAAGTACACTCCTCAAAAAGCTGCTCAGTCTCTTGATGTCTCAAGGATCTAACTGAGTCCTCAGCCTGTCCACACGGACCAGTGTGATAGCTCGATTAGAGAGCTTTTACAATTTGGCAAAGATTGTAATCCTAAGCGTTCGTCGAGAATTCACAACTGAATATCGATATTGTAATATGAGACTAGATATTCTCTTTTTTTATTGAGAACACTGTTTTTACTGTTTATCTTTACCCGCTTAGTCATCTACATTAGTGATGATTATTTATCAGAATTCTCATCGTTTAAATATTTTGAGAAAGAATAAATATTCAACCATACAATATCTTCACGATTACCATATCAATGGATTTGGTCAACGAACAATTTTTTTGGGATCATAAATTAATGTCTTGCTTTATCCCTTTCAAATACCTTATCACTTACATTGGAAATAAGTTTAAGAGGCCTTTATTAGTTAAGTTTTGGGGGTAGAAATACAAAAGTAATATGATAAAAAAAAGTTGATTACGGTGATTATGGGCTTAAGGTCTCAGGCTCGAAAATGACATTCCCAGAACAAAGGAGAGGGGTCTGCCTGCAGGCCTCCACTCTCAGGACAGTTCCGGTGTAGGCTCCACTGTCAGGACACCTCCACTCTCAGTACAGGAAGTGACGATTCTGACGAACACGTTTCTCTCCCCTCTCTTCCACCCCCCCCCCCCCCCCCCCCCCAAGTTTTCAAATCACAATGGAGACTCATCTCCATGAGTCCGCTCACCATGCACTTTGGGTCGACCTTGGTCAAGCCCTTTTGACCCCCCCAGCCTGGTTCTCGTAAAAGTTGACTTAGCCATTTTCCGCTCAAATGACACCATGGAGGAATGTAAGTGTGTGTCCCACTCCAGCCGTTTCCCCCCCCCCACTCATCCATATATTAACGGATTTTGACCATTTTTGTTGCATTTTTCTCCTCTCCTCGCTCTCACTGATCGAATGGCAAACGCGACCCACCATCGGAATGCCTCCACCGGCCCGGCCTAGTGCCGGTGCTCTGGTGGTCGGTTCCTCTGAACTGCGGGTTCGACTCTGATGGCCGGGAGGGTGTGCTGCGTTGGGGTGGGGGACTTCCCCCACTCTGGGTGTCTCTTCCTTCCCGGGCCGGCCGATATGAAGCGTGACCAAGACGCACCGTCTGACTCAGAGGTCTCACCACGGGTCCCGGCTGGAACCTCCCCACCTCCGCCGCGGTGCACCCGGCAAACACGGTTGTTTTTCGAACCCTCCACTGTTGTCTAGCGGGTGTAACTAAAATACAAGATGTCGTTATTTATATATATATAAATATATATATCTATATATATATATATATAGATATAATAAGTGTCAGTGCGATTTTATTTTGTATTAGCGTGCATTTCCTGTTCGGAAAGTGGTGCTGTACTGAGAGTAAACTATACAAGGTGTCCCTATTTTTATATATATATATAATATATATACATATATATATGCATATGTATATAATAAGTGTCAGTACGATTTTATTTTGTATTTGCGTGCATTTCCTGTTCAGAAAGTGGCGCTGTACTGATAGTGGCGATTTTATTTTGTAATTCCTGTCCTGAGAGTGGAGGTGTCCTGAGAGTGGAGGTGTCCTGAGACTGGCGCCTGCAGGCAGGCTCCCATGGAACAAAGGACTATATCTTCACTTCTAAAAGGGGTAAATTAATCATCTTTTTTCTCAAAGCAATGATAAACCTGTGAGTTGGATGTAGAAAAGTCAGAATCAATATAGAATTTTTTTTATTTTAAAGTAAATTCCGATTGAACATAGTAAAACATTTTTAAATTATAGTGTCCGTCCAAAAAGAAAACATTACTTATAGTATAGTGAAAACCACCCTTGAATGATTGGATAGTAGACTAAAAGCTTTAGGAATTCAAACTATAACATATAATAAGTACCCTGTATCAAGATTGATGCAAAACAAGTGACATTTGACCTTTTTTAGAGAAATCTAGCACAAAAAAAACACTTCTGGGGTCATTTGGGTGGATTTGCCATATCTCTGGCCCCCGTCGGTCGATTTTGATGATTGACACCACTTTTGAACCGTTAGAGCCAATAGAATCGAAGGGGGAGTTCCTAAATCCACCTACACGTTACCATTGAGGAATGAGAGTAATGCGCACGCAGCTTGCCCAAACCGAAAGCTATGTTACGCTCTGAAAACTGAAAACTAGGATATAGCCATAAATATGATGATGGATTATCAGTAATCATTTCAAAGTGACACAGAGACATTGGATTAACCTTCAGCAGCGTTTTTATCGTTTTAATGCCATTGAACACAACTTTTGATCAGAAAAACAGCAAAGGTAAGACATATTTGCCGTTTTGTCTCCGTAAAGCTACGTGGTGTGTTGTCTGGTTTTGCCTTTGCTGCCCTGAGGCTTGGCGTTGGAGTTGTGTTTCGTTTAGCTAAAAATGGTTCATATCGTCAGTTAGCTGAGTTTCTTCCCGTTAAGTGGGTATGACACATTCCTAGTTTGTTAAATGTGAAGAAGCCTTCAGACGCTGTTTCTTGCAGATGTTGCGTTTTTGCCCCAGCCCGCGGGGCCGTGGGGCTCAAGAGGTTAAACAATGTGAATTTGAGTACATACTTTCCAATGTCATTGGGCAATGTCTGCAATGACACGTCGTTGAGTGCCAAGTGAGCCAGCGTTCGCAGTTGAGTGAAACCATCCGGCAATCTAAAGCAGAAAGACGGGGGGGAAATAGTGGAAAGAGAATTTTAGTGTTTTGTTGTACAGCACATGGGATCACTTGACTCACAGACATAACTATTAACCCTATACATATTCCCATCTGTTAAAGTATCAACGCTTTATCCAGTCATTTCTATAGGAGGAAGTTAAAAGGTGAAATACCAAGACATCACTGATGAAGGATGTGGAAAGAAATGCAATCAGAGAGCAATGCAACAGTGAACAAATACAAAAATATCATAGGGATATTCAGGTTACATTTACCTGACAGCAAGCACTTTGTCATACAACACAACTGAATGATTTACAGTTTTGAAATCAGCCAACTGTACATCAAACACGCAATATGATTCACTGCGCATTTAAAATAGAAAAGAGCAATTGGAGCACATAAATGACATGTAATCATGCTTTGTTTGATTATTCAAAGCTTATGTTCCCCTTGTTGCATCTGGGCAAACATCAGATTTGCTCACAGGAGTTATGGATGGAGAGACTGGCTGTTACCTGGTGAGGGGGTTTCCGCTGAAGTCGGCGATCTCCAAGGCCCTGCAAAACTTAATGCTCTCGGGGATCTCAGGAATGTCTGCAGGAGAAAAGAGGGGGGGGGGGGGGAGACAGGCATCAGTACCATGGACACACAGATTGAGTGTGGGGGGGGGAGCATACTCTATGGAGTGAATCATTTTAACTTTCTTGTAATCACAACCAGATGGCCACAAGCGGGGAAGTGAGAGAACGGGAGAGAAAATTGAGACAGAAAGAGGTGCGAATTTACTACGAAGGACACCAGTATTTGCATTTTCCTACCATCAGGTAACAATTGGACAGTAATCGCACATTGATTTGATCCAAGTCGTAATTAAGATAATTGGACCCCTGTCTCTGTAACTGCATTTCAGCTGTTACTTCAGTGCTCTTGTCTTTATAGAGTGGTGTTCTCATGCGTGGTAAAGTGCAGGATTAAAATAATTTAAAAAAAAGGGGGGGGGGGGCGGACCTATTTATACGTGCTGGATGATGTTAAGGCTTCTTTGATTATAGGGCTCAGTTTTGCCTCTGTTCTGTCCCACCTCATTTGCAAACCAAGACAAATATTGCTTCAAAGGAAAACCAGTCTGCTGTCCTTCAGCTGAAAGGCACCTGATTTAGCTTCATGATTCTCAAACATATAGCTTGTATCATAAAAGCAATAATTTTCTAACTCACTAGATAAGAGCTTAAATGAGTGCTTCCCAAACACTGTGCCTCGACTGACAGCACTTTACCCCCTTATAAAGATCTAGACTGTGCCAAGACAGACTAGGGTTGGCACTAACAGATATCTAACCGATGGAACTCGGTAAAAAACTTTTATCACTGGATGGATGCTGCAGGTGCATGTTGAGAAATCCCTGCTGAGTGAAGCAGCCTCATCTGGCTCAGCGTGGTCCTGCGGCAGGAGCCGGCAGCAGCCAGCAGACAGATGGGAAAGGCTCTCACAGGCCACTGCACACCACAGATGATGCAGTGTGTTGCACAGCAGATGGCTCTCACCTACCATACAGACCCTTCCTGCCTCGGAGTATCTGGGTGTTTGGGTGCAGCATGCAAGGACACAGAGAGGGCAAGATGTGTATGTCTGAGAGTGTGTGTTTGTGTGTGGTTACAGCTGAGAAATTAAATAGCTGCCAAAAGTTAAATGACTTTCACCTCATGTCTCAGGGAAAATGAATGCTGATTTTTTTGGTTTGCATGCGTTATAGGAATATTTCAGGGGCATAGACATTCATGTATGAGTATGTTGGTTGTGCCCTGGGGTTAACTGAATAATCTGGCAGCTGATATGTATCGAATGGCTGCTGCAAGTGTGTTGATTCCCTAGCTAGCTCGAGTCATTTTTACAATCTTTGTTGTTTGGTGATTTTGGGGGTGGTCTAGACAGGTCTTTAAAGTAATTGTGTGCTAATGGGTGGTCTAACAAGCAGAGATTGTAGAGAAACACACACAGTGAACTTGTGAATGTTTTGTGTACCATTTCTGGAGATGTCAAGCTCCACCAGCTGCATGAAGTTGGCCACCTCGGGAGGGAGTCTCTGGATCTCATTGTCACTGAGGCCGAGCTTCCGTAGGTTCAGTAGTCTGAAGAAAGGCTGGGGAGACATAATGACATGTCAATCAAAACAGAACTTTAAAAGAAAATGTCATTCAATCCCACCATGATGTTTTCTTTTTAAAACTGTAACTGCAGAGTTTAAAATGATATGTTAAGATAACTGACTGTTATTAGTGTTTTCAATGTCGCTTACATTTCTGTCTGCCTTAACCAAACCTGAACACGAAGCATTCTGTACATTCAAATGAGGGCCATTTCTGGGACTGGTTTTTAAAAAAAAATATTCCATCGTCATATTCCCAAAAACTCCTCCTCACCATGGCAACACCAACCAAACACAGTGGCTTTGGATGGGAGAGCTGAGAAGAGTGCTGCTGCTGTAGCCGTGCCAAGTGCTTTCACAAGAGGCTGCTTGTTGGATGGGACAGCGTTCAGAAGCATTCCTCCGCCAGCCGCGCTGTGTGTGTCTGCTTGTGTGTGTGTCTGCTTGTGTGTGTGTGTATGTGTGTGTCTCATCTGCCGTTAAGATGGACAGACAAGACAGGCTGGCGAGGAACAGCAGGAGTCACTATGCAGTGATTAACCCCTCAATCAGTCCGTGGTTCCGCAGCCCACAGAGGACCCACTGTCTGCCCGTCCACTCCTCAGACACTCAGGCTCTTGAGAAACCTGCTGACTTGCACTTTCTGGAGTAGGAATTTGTATAAACTCATTATTCAGGGATGCTTTCTGACATAGGGGGCAAAGATGTCTGCGAGCTAGGAGCCTAAACATTAATTCCAATTAAACCTGGTTAAACAACGATTGTGTGTCAACGCCACAGATAAATATAATAATTTGAAAAATGTCTTACCTACTCCTTCGTGACTGAGATTTTAATTTTGCAAATGTGGCACTGCTACTGTTTCCAAACTATTTTATAAATATGTGTTAAGTCAGAAAGCACAGAACATTTGATGGTTACTTGTTCTTGACAGAAGTGTGAAAACACGCATACAGTACACACACTCCCCTCAATACAACATGCTGGGAGACAGCTCTTCAATCATGCTGTCAAAGAGAAGAATGCTACAGCTCAGATCCTCTCTGTTCCTCGATGACAGACAGTTCCTGCTCTTAACTAGTCATGTGTATTGTGTTTGGATCGGGAGTGTTGTAGTTACATCATCATGGTTATTGTTTTTCCCAGCATCTGTTTGAGGTTTGCTGGAAGTGCAAGATGGAGCTTGTCAGTCAGGACTTTCCCAAAATTCCCAAAATGTCCCAGCTGGTAGTTCGTACTAGCCTCCCCACCTGACAAACATAAAGGAAGGGACAGTGGTAGAGAGAGACAGGGGGTGTTTGCTCACTGAGGAGCAGGTGACAGGTATCAGATGACAGGAACAGGAAACAGGAGCCGGGGACAACCATGTGACCGGGGCCGAGCCCAGATGTGAACGGCCCCCAGGAGGGGAGGCGATACATGCAGAACAGGTGACACTCGAAGACTGTAAGCCTCTCGGGAAAGTGTGTGTAAAAAACACACCAAACAACTCAGATAGAAGAACACACCTTATGTTAACTTCCCACGGTGAGGCAGTACTCTAGTAACAAAGCATGACCTATTCTTAAAATCCAGCTTAACCAATAACTTGATCTTTGCGTCAGTGAATCCATGTCCTCTCTTGATAGCTTCCATAGCTCTAACAGTAGTGACGGGAATGCTAATACAATCAAGCCTGAAAACAAGTAATTATGAACACTCACATAGATGGCCATTCACTACAGAGTGGCCGCTCACACACAGGCTGTTTTTCTAGCAAACAACTGTGATGCTGTAAACAAACTGTACATGTAATAAATCTGTTCTTTGGGGCAAGCGTTCAAATACTTTAAGAAAAGTCAATAACTACAAATTCAATCATTGTAAAGTGGATTTGCTGTTCCTGCCGTTTCCCACTGACTGATGTACGTTCAAATTAAACAATGGCGACCCAGCAGTGTTATACGGGTCAACGGGTCAGTTGGAATAACAAGCGGGAGCGTTGGGATTTAGTGTCCCGCCACCGTCTTTTCATTGTATTAGTGAGCAACAACAGTCTGCTCATTGACTCAGGCAGTTTTTACAGGATGTGCGTGTGTGTAACCATTTATAGAGTGAGGCGGCACGTTGGTTAGAAGCGGTGTGCTACATTTCCTTTACAACTTTGTAACTGGGATGGTTTAATTAGGGCCTTGTGAAAGTTGTTTGCTTAAGGAAGGGAGTGAAACTGTGAACAGGAGGATGTAGTAGTGTGGAACAGAAAGGAGTGAGAGGGGAAGTAGATTAATGATAGCCATGTCAGCAGAGGGCAGTGTGGGGTCTCGAGAGCACACTGCCAACTTACAAACTAACATCAGAATACTTTATAACTGTTTTGCTCATTTTAAAGAAAGGCGATAATAAAATATTTGCGCCACAAAATGTATACTTAAAAAAGGCATGCAAATACTTGCTGTTTAAAACTGAAACAAGCAAGCATCCAAACTGAAAAATCAATGGGTCTAGTTGGAGGTTTTTGTTTAGTTTTAAACAAGATTTTCTTTTTTTGAGGACAGCTTTTGCAATTACTACACCAAAGAGGATGTCTCAGTTGAATACAAGTAAGAGTCACACCAGTTCCCTTCTAAACTGCTTTTAATTCCAGAGACAAAATAAGAGGGAATATACCATTAATAGTGGTTAAGGCAGCTATGACAACTGGACAGATTTTGTAGGACTAAAAGGTTTCCCGCAGGGGGGGGGATTGGGTCTGCGAAACATCCACAATGTGACCAACTCAAGCTAGTGTGAAATGAGTTCTGTGGTGTGGGTACTTATTTGAGATATCCCCCATTATTAAAAAAGTGAAGGAAGCCGTGTCACCCATGGGTAACCTATGAGACAGATAGCAGTGTGTGTGTGTGTGTGTGTGTGTGTGTGTGTGTGTGTGTGTGTGTGTGTGTGTGTGTGTGTGTGTGTGTGTGTGTAGACACAGGGAGGCCTTGCAACAGACACTGCACTTCAGTGAGCGTGTGTGCAGCATCGCAAAACGCTCTGCTTTGTCTTATCTCCCCTGCTCTGCTTTGCTTCCATTCCACTCAGGCAGTGTTAATGTGCCGCAGGTCAGGATGTGTGTTTTTATGTATGTGTGTGTGTGTGTGTGTGTGTGTGTGTGTGTGTGTGTGTGTGCATGTGCATTTTGCAGACGTCCACAGGAGAGAGGATCCTGTGCTGTAGGTCTATAAGTCAGCACACACACCAATGTTTACAGAGTCTTAGTTTTACTTTGGTTAAGGTTGCCAGGAACTCTGGCTTTCAGCAGTAGGACTCAGCATGTGTGTGTCGGGGGGGGGGGAGAGAGCGGTATGGTAACGTTCATATTTGTGTGTTCATGCGTATTAGCAGCAGTGGGTGTTTGTTTTAGAGTGTTTATGGGTGTGTTTATGTGCTCTTGAAGAGACTGTAAATTCACAGGGTGGAATGTTAATGTTTTGGACCTCACAACACTCAGAGAACCCAATTAAAATATGACCACAGATATCAAAGAAGCATGTCAGTGACACATGTGAGTAAACTGTATGTTCCCTGTATGAGTAATGTCCTACTGTATGTGCAGTGAGCCGCAGACTGAACTTGACAGAGGCTGCAGTGTTCCAGTCAAGTGACTCCAGTTAGCTTACGGTTTCCCTCCAATCATGCCCTCAGACTACAGAGAGAACTCCTACTGCCCTGCAAACACACACACATTAAATCCAACCTCCCACTTCGGAGCACATTTAGTGTGCAGGAGACCGTACAGTCACCCCAGATTTACAAATCCATGGTCATTAACTTAAGGCCAAATGTGTCTATTCAAAAGTTATTGCTAGTGGTACTGCAGAGACAATGGTCTAATCTTGGAATTCTGTGAAACAAAAAAAGAAGAACTGAACCGACTTGGTCCTGTCTCAGCTTGCCTACGGAGGCATTTGATCAATGGACCCACTCATCTCCAAATTTACTGTGAAAATGGCAAGTCGAATGACATCACCAAACATCTCTCATCTATTCTTTCCATTAGCCACATTTTTACTCTAACATGCTTCCTTCTCTCTATAAATGAAAGGCCTTTTCACACATTCCACAGCTTAATTTTGTGCCAAATCTGCCCGCTGCCCTAGACTGCTTGTTCCCACTCTTCCCAATATCAATTCCCTCACAGTGCACACAAACGGCACACACACTACTGGGGTGAGGGGCTCAAAGAGAGGGGAGGGGAGAGCACATGCTTTTGTGCTGGCCTGGACTCTTTCAGTGTCCGGGGGAAATAAAAAAGCCAAGAGGATTTGGTTGACTGAGTAGCTTGCTCTCAAATGGCGAGCCTCATTACTGCACACTCGTTTCTATAGATAGCCGCAGTCATTGTTGTGGTATAAACTCAGGACGTGAGTGAGCAGAGACACAAGGGAGCTCTGCATTAACCGTCACTTTAACTCAACTTCTTCTGTGCAGTTATACATTTAAACGCACAAGCACCAGCAAGAATTCATGCTCAGTCATCTCACGGCCGATGCTAATGGGGCAACATTGGTCAAACGACCCCCTCCCCCTTATGACCACAGTTTGAGACCCAAAATTCCCAAAACTTCCACACATGAATGACACCCCAACTGGTCCTCTTCCCCTCCCTCCTCCCCACTGCTCTCTCTACTGCTCCACTTTTCTGCGTTCCCTCCATTTTCCTTGGCAGAAGGACAAAGGCCAAACAGCCAGCCCCACACATGAGTGTCAAGTCTCTGGCCAGCTCTACATGCCCCCACCCCCTGCAGCCCAGCCAGGGGATTCCTCCATTGTCCGACAGGACACCACAGAGAGGAGAGAGAGGGCTGGAATTGGAAGGATGGAGACTTGAAAGAGGAATGTTGCAAAGGATAACAAAAGGAAGGAATGACTAAGAAGGAAAGTGGGGAGAGGAGTGCAGAGAAGAAAGGGTGTGTGAAGAGAAGAGAAAGGGAGTGACGGTGGATTATTAATGAGGAATAGAGGGTAAACAATGG